CAGGCATTTCAGATGGGTTGTGTATTGTCAGCATCAATACAGATGTCAAGGAAGCCTGTATATTGGGAGCGTGGTCTGCTGCCATGTGTCATCTGCTTCTTTAGGGCCAATGTGAGGACACAAGGGTACAGGATCTGATTCAGCTCTGGGACTACAGGCAGATCAGGCCCAACAGGCTCATTGTGAAGGTGAATAAAGGCGTTAGAGGCCTTGTTGTTACAGTAAAGCTCCGTCCTCTCTTTCCACACTAAGCCTGGTACCGACCAAGGCTGCACCCACAGCCGTTAAATAAGCATAGACCTTGCTTATCGCTCATTACTGCTGTGTTCATTCTGACTTGTTGGATCATTATGTTGAATAGATGTGTCTCATTCTGTGTTTGGGCCGAGCATAGCAAGTTTAATGCATTACACAGAGCAGTGAGTACTCTCTCTCCATGCCTAATCTGAGCCTGATTTACAACTCTAATCCTTGCACCCATTTCATTAGATTGTGCCATCTTGGCACATAGCCCAATGCTATCAAAAGCTCATGGATATTAGCTATATCTATTATAAATATATCCATATATCCTCATCATAAGTGTCTATTAAAATGTGTGAGAGATTATAAAGCATTAAAGCTATACATTTTTTAGCTTAGTAATGCCTACAAATCTGAAATTCTTTATTTGTCCTGTAGCGGGTAACTATGGGGTTACAAAGGGCAGCAAAGGTACAGTGCATTAAACAAAAAGGCAAGCAGGATGAGATGGTTTAGAGGCTCAAATGTAAAAAAACAACACACAGTGATTCTACTACTGAGAACAGGGCTGTCACTGTTGTTAAGCTACAGTAAAGACCTGGAGAACAGAGCTCCATACAGGAAGCTATGGATTTCCTCCTTGACTCTCCATAGTGAGAAAACAGCGGGTTGGGGCAGGCATGCAGGCAGGATGCCCGTTCTGCCTGCTATTGCCTTGGAGCAGCTCTGAATATCAGCAGTGACAGAGACCTTAGTGCCTTATGGCAGCAACAGATGTCTCTCTGCTGTGCTTGATCAAAATCATGGTCATCTAATCAGCCGGATTGAACGCCAGCCACTCTTTTCGGAAAGTATTAAGACACAGACGTTTATTAGTCGTGTTGTTACATCCGTTGTACCACTGTAATGAGACCTGCAGAGTAAGAGGAAGCTGCAGGAATTGACAAGGTGACACAACGTGAACAAAACAATTGGATGATGAGTTTAAAAAAGGACATAAAAATGGTGGGCTGAGACGAGTGATAATAGCTGCCGCAGGTAACCTCCGTCTCCATTTAGGAAAGATATGCCTTTATTGATCCCCAGAGAGTAAATTCAGGTGTAAAACTTGCACAAAGACAGAAAGTGAGTTCTAATAAATAAATAAATAAGACTAAATAAAGATAAAAAAGAGGTTAACAACTCATTTAAGAGTAAAAACTACACAAATGTAAAGAAATTACCTATACAAGAACAAGACACACTTTGCTACTTCAAGTGAAAAATATCTAAATGACTTGATAAATAAATATGTAATTTAGTGTACCAAAAACATAATACTTCAAATAAATGTAACACAAATTGACATATTTCATGTTTAATAGCTTTTTAACTAATTAATTCCCCTATGTATCACCTTTTATTATTTATTTTTCTGTATTGTTTTATTTAACAAACTTTTTATTTGTTCTGACTTGTTTGAAAATATATAAATGAAAGGTCTTTTTTGCATTTATTTAATTCCCCCAAGTGTACTTTTTATGTAATTTATTCTTTAAAATAACTTTATACATTTGTTCAATCAACCGGGGGCACTTTTTGCCTTCATAGAGCCACTTTACATACTAGCCAGTTAGCTAGCTCTTGCCGTCCTCTTATCTACTCCATTCTTCCTCCCCGGCTCCGTACAACACGTCTGCTGCTGCTCCCGCTGCTGACTCAGGTCTTCTGCTCTTCCATTTTCCAGCTGGTAGCGCTATAAAGGTAGAGTATAATATGAGGCAAAATATATAGCATAAGGTAAAATTGAACAATAGTTATCATACTGCTAGTAAGAGAGAGAATAGGAAGAAGACTTTAGATAGTTTACAATTGTTTGGTCCATCATCCATCTATCTGCTATATATTCAGATCTATATAAGCTTTACACATGCTAATGCTTTATAGTTGTAGTAGCAGGAGTTCAATTGAATGATGTATTTGCATGTTTAAATGTTCTCTCTGTACTTCCTCCGTTATCTGTGTGTGTATGGATTGTACACCTCTCTTGTCACTTTCACCTTACATTCTTTCTCTTGCACTTTGGTGGCAGAATCCCACACTGGAGTAATTCCAGATTTGTATCAAATAGACTATGTTTGAATCTCTCCCCCTCTCTTCGGCTCACCCTCTTGTCACTATTATTCAGTGTCCTCTGTCCCTTATACATTAAAGGTTTTTCGCTTAGTCTTATATTTCCAGCGTAAAACGTATTTTTTTTCTAACCACAGCCCCGTAAATGCATAGAAGACACAGGCGCCTTTGTGTGTGTGGGCAGAAATGGTGTCACAATAGTTCAATCTTTTCGCTGTCTCCGGGGGGAAACAATCCTCCGACTATCAATGCCACATTGTGCATCACTTAGTCGGGTTCAGTCCTGGGGCTTAGCGAGAGAACAGTCAATATTGTTTGTCACCTTCAGGCTATGTGTGCTTTCCTATGAGGAGTGTGTGCAGTACTAAGAATACAGTTCCCCAGATTTCTGGCTAAGAAACTGAGGTTATATTATGACAAATGCTGTGTCAAATGTAAAACCATTAAATGAATAATTCAATTTTATAGTATTTATATTATTCATACTGGCCACATCTGTTCTGAAAGTAAGAATGTAAACAGGGATGATTGTGAAACAAAAGTTGGGAATTTGCAAACTGCATGCATCCTAATTACTCAGTAGGGGTAATGTGTCACACAGAGGATTGATGTCTAATTTCTCCTTCTAATAAATCAGTGTTGTGGCCACTCTATCTCTGTCCTGCGCTTAGAGCTGTCTCTGCACTATGTTAGTTTTTGGGTGTGTTTTTGTATCAGTAACAAGCAGACATTAAGATGATCCTTCCCCAGGGATTCTGCATCTTAACACCGGTCTGTGCTGGGCGATAAATGATTGGGATAATGATCTGAAAGTGGAATTGTGATAAGCTCTTTGAATTTTGGGTAAACATGGTAATAACGCTGCATCAAAAAGATTGTGGCAGCTTAAAGGCCAATTAAATTTGAGGAATTAACTTCAAACATCAAGCAATTAAAACCAAAGAGAGTTACATGACATAAATAGTTCTTACTATTTAATTGTTCAACTGTGTAGTTCTACCAGTCATAGCAATTTGTTAAGCCACATTGGCCAGCACCATTACAAAGTGATGGTCTTACCCAGTAGTCCTTAGTACTTTGTATCAGCTAATGCAAACTCAACACTTCTTGCTGCTGCTTCCTAGTGAAAGCTTCCCACCAGGAACCCCTGCAAAGCTTTGATTGAGAGGCAGATACAGTCTTTTTTTGTCATTAAGATTAGCAGTGCTTTCTTAGCTTTACTATTGTTCAGTAGAAATTGCTTTACACATCAAGAGAAAGACATATTCTTTGCATATACCTGAACCAGGCTATCCTTCTAAGTATATTTACACTATTCATGGTCAATTTGCCATCAAGCAGTTTGGCCACAAACATTTTCTTTGGTACAAATAAAGGACTGTCTTATCTTTTAGTTTTTTGCGTAGCAGGACAAGATGGAATCAGAGTTGCTCTTGGCGCTGCACGGGTATCTCGGCCACAGGGAAAGAAATGTCATTAAGGAAGAAGGACTTAGATTCAAGATTACGGTTTTTAATTATCATGTGCACAAAAATGACAGAGAAGCAGTTATTGCCAATGAAAATCTTGGATCCCAGGCTCCATCCAATCATGCTCATTAAATATGTATAAAAAAACACAACCATGCAACTAAAAGCTTAATGAGAATCTAATAATTCAAATTGAACTATAGGAAAAAAATGTAAAAATAAAGTAACATACGTTTTTCCTCCCGCATTCTCAGCTGAGCTTCACATATCTACAAATGAGGTAGAGGAGAGGAGAGCAGGGGAGAGTGTAAAGCAGTAGTTTGGGGGAGGGGTGTGTGCTCGAGCATGTCCACAATGTGAAAGGAAATTTCAGTGCACCCTCAGGGAACATCGGAGAGTAGGTGTGAAAAGTAGGCTGGTCTTAGTGTAGTAGAGAAACACTTCCTCAAACGGGTCACAGAGTATGTGTGTGTGTGTGTGTGTGTCTGCGGGTGAGAGCAGCTGGCTGTGAATGAAATTGAGCATGGTAATGGACATTACATGGGACGACTAGGGTAGCATTGTGAAGATCATGCCATCTGTACATAGAGTTATGGTGAGTGAGGCCTTTTTGCAAGAGTTTTAGATAATCCCTAATACTGCCAGTATAGAGGTGTTGGTGAGTAAAAAGATAGGTCTGAGTATAGTGTGTGTAATACATTTTATTTGTACAAAATACCCTGTTTTGTGTCTTGTGAGTGTGATGATGCAGTGCTTGGAGTTTGAGAGCTGTGCAAGTAATGACCTCGCTCAGGCTGGATAATTAGTCAAATGCTGATTTCTCCTCGACTTCTATAGGAACAAGGCCATCGAGGCTAAATATCACACACTGAAGTGGTGCTTTTCTCTCTGTGTGGGAAGGAGAAATGGCAGCACCATAAAGTGTGTGTGTGTGTTCTCTATTTTCTGAGCTACTGATGAGCTAACATTTATATTTGGAATTACCTTGTGTGCCTTAGGCTTCTTCTTTGTTTCATCATTAACCTACATGTCATGATGAAGCACAACACTGGTAGCTGTCATAGTGTTGTTAACCTGCCTCCCTCGTGTTGACTTTTTATTTGGCAAATCAAAGTGCATAAAGCTCTCCCAGATGATAATGAATTAAAGAAATTGTTCTTTTTTTTTTATGCGTAGGAGCTCCAGTTTGAGCGGCTTACAAGGGAGCTGGAAGTGGAGAGGCAGATTGTGGCCAATCAGCTGGAAAGATGCAGACTTGGGGCTGAGTCGCCAGGCGCTAGTAGCAGCAGGTAATGAAAGGATCCACACACACACACACACACACACACACACACACACACACACACACACACACACACCCTCAGCGCTACAATCCAACACATGGCGTTTTCATCCTTCACAGCAGTGACCATATTCCATAGTGTAACCTTATGGCAGAGTGATGAAGCATTCCAATGTGCTCAAATATGGCTGGACTGTTAATCAAAAAATGTCCCCTTCCTTTCCTGTTATTTAGAAAATTATAGAATTGCTGAAATGTTATCTTAGCAGATCATGGTCATTGGTGGTTAGCTTTTTCAATTTGCAGAATATTGTCATGGTTAATCGACTCAAATCACCTTTCTGTTAACCCTAAATGAAAACATAAACAGCTGACTTTGTAGGCAAAATATTAAAGCCTGTGTGTATCAGTGACAGAATGTGCATGATAATAAAGTGTTGTTTGCTCAGTGAAGCGCTGCTGTCAGCGTGGCACGAGTGAAGCTCTAAACTCTGAGTTTGTTCTGGGAACTCATTCCCTTGTCATCAGCTGAGACACGAGGCGGCCTGGTGCTCACACCTCAGTGACCACACATTCTGTCCCGCTCCCCGTGGCTCATGTCAGGTTCATTTGTACAGCTCAATACCACGTACAATATCTCAATGCGCTTCACAGAGCCGCTGTGGAGAAAGGTTGACACTAGTCTTACATTATCGATCGTTAACCTCAATGTAATTTGAGAAATATGCGGTGGACATGGCGTTGATATATATTAATGCTATTGGCATTGACCAATTAAAGCTGTATAATTCATACGCAAAATAACTATACTAATAATGAAATACTGCAGGATAGAAGCATAAAGGTCAACATATTTAGATAAACATAATCTGAATATATATGTCTGCATTTTTACATTCAATTCGTACTAAATGTTATGTGCATGTTTTGTAACATCCATTCATGCACCACTGTTTTTAATTGCAGTTTCACTTATTAAACAGTTCATCTGGACCATCGTCTAGGTCCAATGAAAACATAATTCCTTAAAGTGGCAAGGGAAATTACAGTAGAGGTTAATAGACTGTGACATTTAAGAGAGTGCAGTGCTTTCAGGCATTTTTCAGAATTATTCATATTTTTTAAATTTCTGCTTTTGCTTATTTACTTACATTATGACCAGGAGTTTTAATGGCACAGCATAGTGCTGTTTTGACACCTATCCACTGCTGCGTAACCGTTTTAGTCGTAAATATGTTATGTCGCAACTACAAGTCTGTGATTACATAAAAGGACCTAGTTAACCTAGTTTATCAAACCATTTGTGTATGTGTCCATGCCCAAGAATGCATGTTAGTGTGTCCCTAAACACTGAGGGACTGCTTCACTAACTGGGACATTAATGCAAGCATGGTCAATAATTAGGGTACACCCAAGTGGTTATTCAAATTGCGACTTTTGTCCTCTTTTCCAACATCCCTTCAACACAGGATGGTTATAAATATGGATTACTCTTTCATATGGAAATAACAGCACGGTAAAAGGTGTGAAATACATGCCTCTGGTAGGTCATCAAACTACAATAACGGCTCAGTTTGGCAGGATCTTCCCTCTTCTTTGCTCCCTGCTTAATTAAAAAGTATCCACTATTTTGAAACCTAACCTAAGTACTCTAACTAATGCCGTGTTTACACTTTGTGACTTTAGCACAGATGTTTTTTTTTGCAGACAGTTATTATAGCTTCCTGACAAAAGATCATAGTAAAAATTGTGTTGGCTCTTCATCCGCAAAACGGTGCTTGAGCATTATCTGTTACTCATCCCAGATATGTAGCAGGCTAAATATTTAGACATGTTTTTAACTTTGCTGCATCCAGAGAAACAGGCTATACATATTAGACAGATGGAAACAGGCCATTTTGTGACCGTATGTGTCTACTACAAAGTCATCAAGCTTGACTACGCAAATACTATTATGCAGTTTCCTGTGTTGCTTCCCGCATGTTTTTTCATGACAAAATGTAGTTTTGGAGACCAGACATAATGTGGATTCCTCCTGGTGAAAGTTATTTTACTGTGTCCCTCTTTGTTCTCAGTCATGAAGTGACTTTCAATTATAAGACGGCCAGTTGTTTAATGCGAGTAGTTCAGCCATCCACCTTTAGAGTTAAGTAGAGTAAACTTTAGTGTGAACTTGACTCAAGACTACCAGAACTTTTTGTTCAATACCATCCCAGACCCACATCACCAAATAAATGGTAGTGATCCTTCACATTTTTTTGCAAATGGTCCCTTGATGTCAGGTGAGACAAATTTGTCCTGAAATGGATCATGAAAGCATTGGGTTATATCTGGATACATGACACTTGGTCTGAATAGGGGCTGTAATGGCTCGGTGGTCTCTTCTGACTTTGTGATAATAATCCCTTTGCCCTTTCACAATGCATTCTGTCACTCCAGCCTGCATACCTGCAAATAACACCCACCTACTACCTGCAGATTGTAGCACTCAGGATTAGAGTGTCAATTTCCCCTTTTCCCCTTTTTAGAGAGGCACAGGTATAGAGCCGCTTCAAGTGCTGCCAGAAAAGGTCTCGACAACAGCTCTCTGAACATACCACAGCCAGGCTATTGACTTTCATTTCCACTTTGAGAAATACAGCCTTTTATACCTTAATTTTAGCTTTCCTTTGGTTGTCCCGCTGTCACTCGGTCCCCAATGACATTAAACAAACTGAGTGGCACATCAAGATTCATTTTAGAATAAAAGTTAGAGGACCAGGCAATGTTTATTTTTCTCAATGAAATGATTGCCTCTAATAGAACCTTTTTGTGTCTGTGCCAGTTGCTTTCACATGTTTTGTGCAGCTTGTTGAATGGGTACATAAGTGGAAGGTTAACAGCATAAAAATGATTAAAGTATTTTCAGAGTGGTTGGTGAACCATACAAGCTAAATACCAGAAGATATTGAAGAAATGTCAGCCAAAACAAAAGCCATAACAACCATCTTAGTTGATCATTACAATATAAAAAAACATCAGAGTGTTGTAACCACTATGTTTATAATGATTTAATTTATATTACTATCAAGACGCTTCATCAAAAATAAATTTGGGACAATTTTGGGAACTCGGGCAGTCTGTGTTTCAGAGTCCAAAGCTAGCTCCAAAAAAGTCCCTGCCTAAGGGATAGTGCTGTCCTTTCTATTAGCGTCTGAATGAGTGAGTGGAATTTGTAATTGCAGCGCTGAGGCTTTTGATTGACCTACCAGCTCTGAACAAACTGTACAGTGTATTTTCTCACAGTAAGCAAACACTAGTTGCCGCTAGCAGGATTAAGAGTGGACATTTTATGACCAAGGTCCTGTTTGCTTGTCGTTACATATTGAAGCAAACATGAATCCCCATTAAACAGCAGATTGTTGCTACTTAGTAGACTGTCTTTTTGTTGTGAGACCCTTTGATCTTCACTATGTATCTGTTTTTTCTTTGTGTGTTAAAATTGCAGTGCCTGATTTAATTCCTGTGTAGAGTTCTTGGGACTGTTCGGTCGAAAAGGGCACGGGTTGCCAGTTAAGTGATGCAGTTGATTTGCAACACTTGGTCTGACAGTGCTGATGTGGCTTGACATTGTAAAGGAGCAGACCGTTAGTTCTTTCTACTGTGCCCTCATGTTCAAATTCACTTAAGAGCCTACTGTGAAGCTGTGCAACCTGATTTATACATTGATTGATGTGTTTAGTTGTAGAGGAAAATCAATAGGGCTTCTCTTCAGTTACATTTAGGATACAAACCCAAAAAGCTATTAATTGTCAAGTATTTACTTCACTATAGTAATATTTGACTTACTCTTTGGCATGCAGAAGGCCATAAAACCTCTCAGAATCATAGGTTAGGGTTGAATAATCAGGTCTTTCCAGCTGAAATCCACCCTTTTGTCTTCAAGGTTTTGTATAAACAAATCCAATGAAGAGCACATTTTCTCACTTACAAGATGTTTCAAAAATCTTCTTACTTACTACTAATCACATTTTAACATGTAAACTACATGTAAACGCATCCACTTTTCACACTGGGGGGCCTGTATCCATCCACCACCTCTGGGGACTCTATAAAGAAAACATGCAACACCCTTTTCACACCTTTTTTAAAGCCAGAGAAGGACAAATAAAAGGCTGTCTTCGGACATTTGTGTGTGAATGGAGATTAGCTTTTAAACATTTCGCTCAAACTGCTTGGCTCAATAGCTCAGCAGGAGGACGGCAGAGGTGACAGGCAGCACACTTAAGGCTCGAATGGGAGTCGTTACACTTCACGACACCGCCAGAGTTGGCCACCACCTTCTTTTCTACATGGCATAGAGGGAGTGGTCATCAAACTTGACCTCTGGCAAATCTCCTAAAAGATGCAACCCTCCCCCCCCCCCCCCCCCCGACCAGAAGGGTTGATGGGAAATAAAGTATCCTGTCAGGGTTCGGCCTGTTGTTTATCAGCATTGGCAGTTTTACAATCTCCCAACGCTTCCTCCACCCAGCCAGCCGGTCGGCACGCCGCACGCATGGTGCATCATTGTTATGGCCGCCGTTCTTCTACTTCATCTGCCGTGGTTCAATGGAGCACAACTTGCCCAACTTCCTCTTTTTAATTGCCTGCGTGCTCATTAAAATTTGGAGTGCCGTGTTTCTTAAAGCTCATCCAGTGTCACCTTAGATGGAAGAATAGCAGCAGTTGCAACATCAGGTGCACGATAGTAATGACCAGCAAATGGAGGATATTAAAGAGAAACGGTTTGAAACACTGCTATAATGTCTCCTGCTCGGCCTCTGACTGTCGTAACAACAGGCTTTCAGAAAATAGCTGTGAAGAAAGTAAGTGGCCTTCACTTTGGTCAGAAAGTATTTTCAAAGGTACATTATGTGGCTATTAATGTGCCTTTCTCTTCTCCTGAAACCTTGTCTATAAATTATCATTATAATGAAATGCATTTGCTGCAGGATAACTATATTCTTTCTTTTAAATATATTCATACCATTCAGTAAATACACTTTTGCTTAGCTTTATAGTTATGTATACAATTTAAGTTATTATTTTGAGTTTGCTTCAGTTTTATTTATACAATAAGTAGCATCTTTATGAGCATTCTAAGGTAGGTTTTTAAAAGACATATTGGGACTTGCACTGTTTTCTTGAACTCGCATCCTACATAAATAGTAGTGACCTGACTGATAGTTGTGAAAAGAAACTCTCAAGACATACTGTAAACAACCTGACACATTGATTGCATGTGTGAGGTTACTGATGTTAAGGATTGTTCAAGGCATAGGATGGATTTTTAGTTCTTCATTAAAAGGTTATGCCATACTTATAACAGTTACGTGTGCAGACTCTTCGACTTTGCTGTAGGCTGTCATCAAATTTAAAACCGGTTACACTGGGAAATATAATTAAAGATTGTACGCCCTGATTATACACAATCCATGCGTCTATCTCTGCGATGCCATCAGCTATTGAACTATCAATCAAAACCTTATCTGTAGGTATCTATGGTGGGACTCCGCTAACCCCTTGCATCAACTATCAATCCAGCTATAGGGTTACCAAAGCCGGCCTGTTTTCTCTATCATGAAGAGAGCAGGAACTATAACTTCCACTGCCATCTCCCATATTTAGCTGGATGGGATTCTTCCAGTTGTAGTGGGTTCACTCGTTCCTTCATGTAGTTTTCCTTCTATCAGGAATAAATGCCTTTGGCCAAAGGCCTATGAAACATTGGAATGGAGCGAATGGATTTGTGCCATAGTCTACTATTGGATACTTGGTCAGATGCTTTTCTGCTCTGAGCTTGCTATTAAATATGAGCCTTTATCCACTGACCCACGTTGATTCTTCATCTATCACCCACACAATGTCATTAGATCCTTTCTGGTTTTGCTGCTCAGTGTTGTGGCCACAGACTGACTTGACCATTATTTCCCCCTCTCTAATATTTCCTCTGTGCTGTAATAAATGCTTGCACTTCAAGGCTATGGTTTTGGATGCAGGGATACTATAAGCTTGTACATTGAGAGTGGTAAAATGTACTATATGATCACTTCTGATATAGTCTAGAAAGCTCACTTGTCTAGGCTCAGTTTTAGCTGCCATCAGAATGTATTCCATCCCCTGGCTTTTTGTACTTTTTGGCTTGGCATGTTTATTAAAGCTGCAGGGGGGAAAACAGCTTCCAGTCACATTCAAGCTTTTTTCCATGTTGATGTGCCCTCACCCGCTGTCAGCAAAGGCACATTTAGGTCTCGATAAACACAGATGATAGAAATGGACTTCACATCTAAGTTGTAAACATGAAATCTACTCTTAGCTTTTTTTATTTCAAACACGATGATTACCATCTGTGACCGTGTTGTGAAAAGCCAAAGGAAAGGGTACATGATGCTGAAAGGTGCCTCTTCCAGTTGATTTCACTCATGTCATTCACTGTGGTGTCTTTGGTTTGTAGAGCATTTATTCACTTTTTCATCTCCTCTTTTGCCCCATACAGCTCGTCTGAGAAGTCCCTGCCTTGGAGAGCTGCAGGTATGTGAACTCAAACACTATTTTTTTTTAATAACTATCCATCTTCAACAACTTACATTTATTTTAATAGTTCACAGTTACAGTGCACATTAATAAACAATACTGTTAATGTGCCAGTTTACCCTTCTTGGCCAAATTTCAACTGCAGTCCATGAGGAGTTTCAAAGACCATAACAAAAGACTCATGAATACATTAAAACATGACTAGCATTACTTCAGCATTATCTTCTATAACCAAGATTTAAATAAGGGTTGGAAGACTGTTCAAAGTCGTGTTTTTAACATCTATTTTAACCATGTGTATAATGCATTAACATCAAATGTTGTTTTCACTATACTCATTAGTAACCTGAGAAATACGCAGGATGTAGCATTTGTCAGTCATTTCATGTTCTCTCCATAGAGTTTTACTGTAACATAATGGGGTCACAATGTCACGGACATGAAACTTGTTGATGTGGATATCAATCAAGCGTTCTTTATAATGTGTATTAAGCTAGCTTAAATGTACAAAGTAGTCAATGTCTGTTCCTGTTTGACCTTGATTACAGCTTTTCGGAGGTATTAATGTATACTAGGCAGTTCTGTTAAGAATCACACTCATTAAAATGAGTAGGGATTAACTGTTGTATGCATTTAAATTATTCGTATGGGTTAAGTTAAAGGGGACCTATCATGCAAAATGCACTTTTGTACGTCTTTTATACATGAATATGTGTCCCCGGTGTTCCAGGGAACTCACCAAGTGTCAGAAAACACAACCCTCTCTATTTTCCTCCATACCCAAATCTCTAAAAACGGGGCTGCAACGGATCTGATAAAAACTGATCCAGATTTGAACACGTTACTGACGTCAGGACGGTGGCGCTACGGCTATTGGGCCAACTCTCCACCTATCAGGGGAATGTGGGGTTGGGCCACGGCCGGCCATTGCCGCTCGAAAGCGCTGGAGACGCTGTAGTACATATGCCAGGCCTGTAAGTGGCGCTGTAGTCTGCCACAAAAGCAGCGAAGAAGACTTCCCGCGCATGGTTGCCATGGTTGCCCTTCTGTTTATTCTCCGCTGTGGCTTTTTTTCTCCCTCCCCGAGGCAAGCGTTTGCTCCTGCTGCTGTAATTCAATGCAATCCCTCCCCGTCGAGGCAAGCACTGTAATTCTCTCCGGTTAGTCCACCAGCAGATGACAAACACCCACCTCTCCGCCTCTTCCAAGGAACGAGGGGACCGTGCGGCAGAGTTTCAGTTAGGTTTTTTTTCGCCGGTCAAGATGTCCGTTAAAGTTTAAATCTTCCGGACAAAATTAGAAAAGTGCCGGTCAAAGGTCTTCTTTGTTATTTATTGAGCTTTAAAACAAATGAATAACGACTCTATATAATAATATAATAAAACACGGAGGACGGAGATCTCCCCCCTCTTCTGACAGCCCAGCAGCTGATCAGAGCACGCTCCCCTCTCCTGCAGGGGGGCGTGGTCAGCTGCAGCTCACAGAATCAGCCCCCTGCAAAAACAGTGCTGGAAAGAGCAAATGGAGCGAAATGAGGCATGGCTAAAATGCAGGATCTGTTTGGTATTTTGAAAAAAAAAACTATATTTATATACTTTATATAGGTATGGCCCTACAATATATTGTTCAAATATAGCATGATAGGTGTCCTTTAAGTGTGTGTGTGTGTGTGTGTGTGTGTGTGTGTGTGTGTGTGTGTGTGTGTGTGTGTGTGTGTGTGTGTGTGTGTGTGTGTGTGTGTGTGTGTGTGTGTGTGTGTGTGTGTGTGTGTGTGTGTGTGTGTGTGTGTGTGTGTGTGTGTGTGTGTGTGTGTGTGTGTGGTGTGTGTGTGTGTGTGTTCAATAATCATTACATGAGGCATTTCAACCAAGCGTACCGTTATGGATAGCCTGAGGCCTATTCTTGTTTTAATATTTATCCAAGCTATTTCTGCTAAATCATACACCGCCCCAGCAGTAATGTGGATCTCTCCCAGGCCCCTTTGCTCTCTGTTTGTTTAGTCCACATCCTTGAAGGATCTTCAGCAGAGACCAGATAATGAATTTAATTTACTAATGTATTTCATGGCTTATTAATTGCAAAGAGTAACTTGGCGTTTGTCTGCAATGGTCATTAATCTTTCATTGTCGATCCCGTCAGAACAGCCTATGGGGGGGTTATAGTTGAACACATTCACTGGGAATATTAATACACAGTTTTTTCATTTGCTGCCCATTCTCCATTTCCTTGTTGAATGCATTTCATTAGTGTTTGAACAGAGCCGGGGAATAATCGCAATCACTGTTTTGCTTCGTATTGATTTCTAATTGTAGTGTAGATGATAAACGATAGTCAGATGTGGTAATGTACTTTTTCCAATCTAAATCAATTAAAGACTAAATGTGTGACACAGAGCATAATGGACCGCGTTAGTCTTTGAGGCCTATTGGCCTAATGAGCTACCGTATGTTTCCACTGTCCGAGAGTTTGAGTGGTGTTACTGTGGAAACAAGGCTTTTAGCCCCAGGAAATGTCAATGCAGTCACACCTCATGTCCACTGAGAGTAGAAGACAAACACCCCAGAATGAAAGCTTTTTGTCTCTTGGACATTCACATTTCCAATATCCTGACAGATTAACATGTCAGCTGCAGCATCATGTCCGAAAAAGACCCGGATCTTTTAGAGGCATGTCTAGTGACTGAAATATTTTAAAGAGCCATTAGTAGGTTGACATTCTTACAAAAATTAAACTTAAGGTTTTGTGGAGATTATGTTTTAAAATGTAAATTATAAATGTATATTTACAAGCCACAACATAACTAATTCCAAGAAAGGGCAACCAATCATTACTAGTTCTGATACTGCCTGACATGTGATTACAAATGGTACCACATTGAGAAGAAGACGCGGTAACAAAGACACCTGCCTGTCTCTCTTGCCGATGGCAATTGTATCTCCACATTTACCTTGTTCCCTGCCAGTTGGTTGCCCAGCAGACTCATAATTATAAAACGGATTTGGTACCTTATGAATATGTATTTTCCACCACAACAGACTCAATATAAGTGCAAAAACACAGATTTAGAATTGAACTTCAACCAGCTTGGCCACTCTCTTATGTGACATGTCTGGTGGTGGGTTACAGTTAACAAAAAGTTCAGAAGTCACTGTGATTCAAATATCTTTCTAGAAAATCCTCATAATTTTCCAACACAATAATTAACTTTGGACACCTAAAAAAAACATAAACTTCTTAGAAGGTACATAAATGCTGATTGTCTGTGTAGGTACTGCTGGACTGTAAACGGGGCGCCTATAGTGTTATTTAATACATTATTAAAAATGTATGGGGTCACGGGGTGCTTTGACAACTGTGGTTACTTAGGCGAGTATAAGCAGTAGAGAGATCTCTTAAATGTTGTATGTGAGGGACTACGGATGGAAACTAGCTCAAAGCTAAAATCCGGCATGTTTACGTTTTTAAAGCATTATTTGTTTTAAATGTTCATCAATGTGCACTGTCCCTCGTCAAATAAACGATTAAATGAAAAAAGATGAAGTGCAAAATAAAATGTAACATATCACCAAGGTTAGCTGTGTTATACTTACACTTCTCTTATTCAGTATCTTGGAGAGAAACAAACCCCCCTATCCAGAGTGCTCTTATTTTGTATGAGAATGGCACTATTGACAACATTAAATCAATACATATAGGAGACCAAATAATGAATGCCAAGAGCCCTGTTATAGAGTGAGTTTTGAAGCCAGTAATGTTTTATCTTCAATGTGTAAAAAGGGGTACTGTGTCCCTCTCTTCCTGTTGTTCCATGTTTTGGCATCTCATTTATCAAACAGGGTTTAGGCTCAGTATACAAATCTGAGCTCTGAAACGAAGCACTGTACCGGACACAGAGTAACTGCTCGGATGCGAGGGGAAAATCCCTAAACAGGATGGGTATTTTGTTAAAATTACAAACAGAGAAAGATGAAGAAAGAGAGACAGTACACAAGAGACAGTGAGTGGGGGAGTGAGAAAGCAGGACTAAAGAGAAATGGAAGCATTATAATGTTGTTATTTTAAGCAGGGCCATGTGTTGAATTAGAAATAGCATCACTGTTTAAAGTGGCAGAATTGGCAAGGTGTTTTGCAAATAGTGAAGATGTTTACTACAGAGCAGACATGCTGACGTTGAGTAAAGGCAGGGGCAGACGTTGTCACGGCAGGACATGCTAAATGGTTAATCCTGGCAATTTTGCTCTAAATCCATTTTCGTCCCATCAGTAAACGGGCAAACACTCTTAGATCTTCAGAGGTGGGAGTGCAAAATGCCAGGTTGTCAAACCCCACACTAGGCTTATGCGTCAACAGATTTATTCAACAGGTCACCGTGGGCCTCAAGGAGGCTTCTTCATGGGATTCACCTCACATTCTCACAGCTAATCGGGCAGGATTTCACACACCCTGCCTGCCAATGTTTGCCTCCCTGTTCCCCTCCACTTGCTGCCTTTTGTTGTAGTGATTGCCGAATAACCCATTGACACTCGTCACGCTTAACTCGATTGTGTTTACGAGCAACATTCACAGGGACATAAGAGGGCTAATTCCAGGTCTGCTTGTTGAATGAAGGTGGATGTAGGGGAATGTTTATATTTAGACCGTGGTTGTATACACAGTAACATGCCACCCAACTTTGCCTTTCCAAATTAGTATACCAGTAAAATGTAACGACTCCAACTGTACTAGGGATGCATATCGTTGACTTTTTTACGATACCGATACCGATACCGATACCACTGAACGATACCGATGCATATCGTGATACTTTCATGTTGCATAAGGGAAACATTTTATCATCCCGCAATTACTCCCATGAAGCGCTTTATTATATAGTTAACATGTCAAATGAATATTAAATTCAATTGTGGGACTTGGACCTTTTAGTACTGAACAAACAATGAAAAACACGTTATCTATGAAGAAAACTGATTCTGCAATATCATTTATAACAACCATCAGGCGGGAATAGTACATCTTGTCAATGGAAAAATTAAATAGCACCAGTATAATCAATATTCAACCTGAGATTCGACTGACCAGAGAACACATAAAGGATCATGAGATCTCGGCATTGCACATAAAACAAATAGCATCCTTAAAATCAACATTTGCCTGATGAAAGAAAACAAATCCCATCACAGTTCAGTTTTGTGCATTCATCTTCAAGAAGATGAGCATATCTGCTCTCTGGATCCAAACGGGCCCTTTCACAGCGTAGGGTATCACCTGCTAAACTGAACACTCTCTCGCTTGGCACGCTGCTTCCCTGAACACAAAGGTACTTGGTTGCCATACGAGACAGCATTGGTTGGAGATTGGATGTGTTGCCACCTTTCCCAGAAATAAACTTCTGGCAGTGGTTACAGACCCCACCATTCAGACTGGCAGTGGTTACAGACCCCACCATTCAGACTGGCAGTCATATGCAGCCACACTTTAGATTTTCAAAAGTGACTTGGTTGCGGAGTTTCACCTGCGAAATTGACATCGTAATTCCGACGGTTTGGGCACAAGTTTAAGGATATTATGCCTCACTTTTATAAAAAAAAAAAAAAAAATCGGTAAAATCGGTAATACCGGGAACCGGTATGCACCCCTAAACTGTACACAGGCTTGAAACTAATGTTCTAGAAATAATTGCCTGTTATTGTTTCCTCACAACTACATCAATTGTTGACTGCTTTAATGTCTATTATAAGCTTTCCATTCAAAGCCGTAACTCTTAATTGTTTCAGACCCAAAGCGTTTCCTCTGTCTGACTCCCTGCTCTTCTGTGTCTTCCCAGATGCCTCCGCCTCGGGCGACACCAAGTCTCGGTTGACTGACAGCTCCCAGTCGCCTAGCTACCGCATCAGGACTGAGTCAGAGCAGGTGTCTCTGTACTCCCCGGAGCAGTCCTCCCTCCATGAAAGTGAGGGTCTGTTATTGCCTTCACTCTATCGCCTGCAGCCCTCTTTTCTCTAACTCACACCTTCGTTTTTCTTACCTCAGCAGTGTGCCACTAAACGTTTACGTCAATGTTTCAACTGTTTTCTCTACTTTTGATGTATCAGAAAGCCTGTTTCACCCTGCACATTTATCTTATCCATAGTTTGAATGCCATAATACTTCATCACAGCTTATGAAAAGGCTTTGGTAAACTGAATCATAAGAGTGTTGGAACCGTTCTCCCCCTTGCTGTGCCGTTTGTCATTAGTAATGCTGTCTAAGAAAAGGTCATGTCTATTATGAAACCATGTCTGTCTCCTGTTCCTCCAACCCGCCCTCCTCCTCTTGTCTCTGCGTTTAATTAGGGGCTTTTTTTTTTCTTTCACACTCCCAGGGTCCACAGGGAATTCGCGCAGCTCTACTCAGATGAACTCGTACTCGGACAGCGGCTACCAAGAGGCCAGCAGCGGCTACCTCCACAGCCAGAACATGGGCAAGGCTGAGCTGAGGATGCAGCACTCCTTCCCTGGCGCTGGCACCCTGGGGAGAAGCAGCAGAGCAGAGGGCCAGGCTTCAACCCAGGTACTATCTACCTACAACACATTGCTGTTGTTCTGTGGTGGAGCTCAACATTTATCTGTAACCTGTTATCTCGTGAATAACAACAGCATTCAGTTATTGAATTAACAGTCGTTGTTAACAATGTTCAAGGGTTTATGGAATTTAATTACCTAACTGATGAGCTTTTAATTCACTAAACAAAAGAGAAATTGCTGTTCATTTTTTTTCAAGGTAGCGATGAAACACTTAATAAAGTACACTGAACACCGCAACATAATCCTGCTTCATACAGCGCTGTACACATAGACCACTGAGAAACCAAAGGCCACACACGACAGAGGGAGGGGGGTGGAAAAGAGAAAATAAATATGGCCTAGAGCAGCGGTTTTCAAAGTGTGAGGCGCGCCTCCCCGGGGGGGACGCCAGAGAGCTTCAGGGGAGGCGCAGCGTGAGAAAAAAATAACGAGAAACAGTGAAATCTAGCTAGTTAACTTCAGCTAACTTAATGCGAGCGGCAACATGGATCGATTTTTAGTGAAGTTACCTAAAGTGAGAGAGGAGACAGCGTCTGGCAGAAAACGGAGGAAGTATGACCACGATTATAGGATTTTCATGGACCAGTCCTGGCAGGGGCGGACTGGCCATCTGTGTGTTCTGGAGAATCACAGAACGGCCGGTCGTCAGCGGGCCGTTGACGGCCAGCTCGGTTCGCTGACGGCCGGCACCGCCCTTTATTTTAATTTGAATAATACTTACTTTGATCAAAAGCAAGTACCGGTCAAGGCTGCAGCCAGAGGATGATCTGCGTTTATTCCCGTCTACATTGCATCCGCGCATCAACCGCCTGTGCGCATCAAAGACGCAGACACATTGTTCCCAGTAAAGTAGGGGTGAGTGTAATAAGGAGGCAAAGTTGAGTTCAGTGTGTTGCCGGGAGCATATAATGATTTATCCACGATGTTGAAAATGTTAAAATAAAAAAATGTAAATGTTTAAAACATAAAGATAAAAAGGTTTTAAAAAGTTGTTGTTTAATGTTTTAAGGAGGTGACGCTACTCAGCCAATCAAATGGGTGCAGTCAGTGAGTCAGCACGATAGATTCAAACACACACACAGAGACGAGACAAGAGAGAGAGAAACAGTCGGAGTAATTTCAAATGGCGTGCTCAAAAAAGAGAAAGCTAGACAGCGAAAACAGAGCATTTAATGACATTTTCTCTTACTGGACCTCTTTGAAATGCAATTGAATACCCCTGCATTATAGCAACAACAACAATAATAATAATAATAGCAATAATAATTGGGAGGGGGGGACACGGCTGTTCTTATGTTCTCTGAGGGGAGGCTCACCTTCCCACACTTTGAAAACCCCTGGCCTAGAGTAAAGTCATGCCCTGTGATGATTTGATGTGGGTAATGCTGTGTTATTTAGCACGTCATTATCATTGCACAGAGAGTACAACATGATTGTATAGCTTCTGAAGTACTGAGGAAAATATGCATTCAGCCACATTGTTTTTTCTTTCTGACATACAGGCTCCAGCAGTCACATCAGCAGTGCCTGGGCGGGCGATGCGGAGGGTGAGCTCGGTGCCTTCTCGCTCTCACTCGCCAGCCTACGCCACCAGTATGTCCCCCTCCCGCGGCTCCCTGCGCACCTCAGTCGGCAGCGGCTACGGCTCCCCCATCGTAACTGAACCCAAACCCCTCTCCAGCATCTTCTCCACAACCTTGCCCTCTGCCCAGCGCAGCAGTAACACCAGCGCCGGTGGCAACAACTCGCCCTACTCCACGCAGAAGAACTCCCCCGCCGCCCTGCGACGCGTGGGCTCCACAAACTCTCGATCGGGCAGCGCCAGCCGCACGACCTCGCCCTATCAGGCCTCCGCGGGGTCATCGTCAGGACGCATGGGCTCGCCTCTGACGATGGTGGAGGGCGTCAACCCTCCACTGACCAAGCAGCCGACTCACTCATCGTCTCCAGTCAGGGCCACCATGACCGCCGTGCCCCAGCACTACAGCTCCACGCTGCCCCGCTCCATGCTCCACAGCACAGACCCCTACGGACCCCAGAGCTACGACATTTACGAGAGGATGACGCGACCTGAAAGCCTCACAGGTGCTCAAATGCATCAACACACACACACACACACATACACACACACACACATACACACACACACACTGCCATTTAAAGTGTATTAGCTTGCTCAAACTCTCATTTCAGTAAATAATAATGACTTGCATGCAGGCTTGCTTGTGTAAAAAATCTTCATCCCAGCTATGAATAAATAAATGTTCGAAGGGTTTATTACCTTAGATTCAAAAACATTGATAGAGTAAAAAGTAATACACATTTTTAAAAAGGCATTTTGTGTTCCCAAGCATGTAGTCATTTAACTTTGCAGGCTGTCACATAATTGCTTTTCACAAGTTCTTCTGAACTTCTTGAGTAGAGGATTTGTAGTCCAGGCTGTAAATATTTAGACTGTGATACATTTTTTCTTGGCTCAGCATACTGAAATAGAAAATAAACAGTTACTTTAAGGTCAGTGGTTTTCCTGGAGTGGAGCCAAAACATAGCTTCTGCAAGAAGACAAATATTAGTTCAAAGAGAATAATAGTGTGCTTATCATAGCTCATTTTGCCTTTAAACGTTTAACAGGAATGCAAGTCAAGTTTTCCTAACATAGCAGTATCACAGTTAACATGTGGCTGTAGAGTAGTTTGATGGATTTTGATGATTACATATTTACAAAACATAGTGGAAACCTTTCAGCAAATAAGTTTGTGGTAACTCTTTAAATTGAGCAAGAAAATGTAGTTGTTGAATAAACATGGTTTTGACACAAAGGCACATTTAGTTTGCAAGGTAAATCATCATCATTGGTGTCATTGGTATATCAATGTAGTGTAATAATAGGGAAGGTAGATTAAAACATTTTACACATGATAAAATGTCCGTTCAAATCCATTATTTCACGAGTGCATTATCGCTATATAGTGTGCACTCACGAGGAGCAAAATGAGGTGGCTGTATAACCGTGTGTGTTTGTGTGCATGTCATTTAATCAGAACAGTTGAGGAGATCAGGTAGATAATAATTGGAAAACCTGCCATCCCAAGCTAGCCTGTGTCCTTTAAGGACAGGCGCTGCCTAATGTATTCAGGCCAAACGCTTATCTTGTTTAAAACACGAACCGACCATTTTCCCCCAGCCACAGGCCTGTAATGATTCATTCTCACTTTTTAAGGTATCTCCTGTAGATAAGAATGTAGCTTTGCTAATAATAACACCCACAGTTATTACATAGCAACATCCTACCTTTGTTCACATTTCAGTATTATATGAAGGCTTTGCAGCTTGAGAAAAAGCAATGAAAGTAGTAATCTGTGACTGGGGAAAGTAGCGTTTCATCATTAAACCCAAGAGCGTCTTTGTTTTCCTCCAAAAGGTAACAGAAGCACTTGTTCAGCAAATGGCTGTATTATGGTTTCAAGGTTAATGGAGTGTGTTCTGCTTGACTTCTTGCTGCCTGGGGATACCCTCAGATGGCCTGGTTGATGATGATGTTGAAGGTGAACATTTGTGGTTGTTGTGTGACATCATACTCGGTGTATTGTGTTTGCATGTAGGTGCTGCATGCTTACATGTGTCCTCATTTGTTCTCAGTGAAATACTCATCTTCAACCAATTTCCCATTTTTATCATGTTAATTGTAGTGTTTTAATTTGTTATAATACATGGTACATTGTGTTTTAAATATGAAATCTACACAGCATGGCTAGGAAATACAGTCTTAAATGTTAATGTAATATACATTTTTTTTTATTGAATTATTAAAATCACAATACACCTAAACATCGAGAGACACACTAACCTTTATTTTGTGTCATACATAAAACCGAAGAATATGAATGGTTAAATTAATAAAATGGTGTCAGTTTAATTCCTTACTTGCTGACTTAATACTAAATATGTTTTCACGTTTAAGCCTTAAGAAGACAATCAACAGCAATGTTCTAAAGACAAAGAACACATTTTTACTAACAAATTAGTCAAATGTCCTGAGTTTTTATCCTGTGAGGTAATAAGTGGACTTGCAGATGCTGCTGGGTTTTAACTATCACACGAAGCTAGTTGTGGCCTTAATGCTAGCTTGTGTTCGAGTTAACTTTCCCTCTGAGTTCACAATGTCGTGGTGCCTTTTTTCAGGACAGTTTAGGAGGGTTGTTGTGTTTCGCAGCTTTCCTTGGCGTCCCTGTTATGGATATCAATCTGCTCTTAATCAGACTCTAGACATCCAAATGTAAATCAGAGGGGTAGTGTGGCCTGTCGTCACCAGATTTCCTCGTCTTATGTGCTAGCCTTCTGTCAGACATTCATGTGTCTGCGTGTTTGCAGCTTCTTGTAAGTAGGCAGTTATGTCACATAGCTCTGAGGGATGATGTCTCAAACAGACACAAATGGGTTTTCAGTCTCTGTCCTCTGAGCAGAGTGAGACAACAGCCTACTTCCTCTCACTCTCTCTGATAGATCATCCCCCCATGTCCTCCTTCTCTACCTCCACTTTCTTCACAATCTCTTGTGTTTCTTTCTCTCTTAAACTCCACCGTGGAGCCTTACCTCTAGCAGCGTAGTTTGTCATAAATGCTTGATGATCCATTGTAGATTGTAACTGGGATGATCCCGTGATCAGGGTTAAATGCAACGTGTGGTTTCTTATGTTATTATCTTTCAGCAGACTTCTATCTCTTTTACTTGTATTTTATTCTTCCGATCTAGTGCTCTTCTCTTGTTCCCTCTCCTCTCCCCCCCACCACCACCACCCGCCTGGCTACCCTCCCTCCCCTGTCATTGGCAGGAAGTCATACCTCCCCTCTGCGGCTGAAAAATTGAAAATGAAGACAAATTGTCCCAAATAATGTGGCTATTACGCTTGATGCCCATTTCAGAGCAGAGATTAGGACCCAGAAAGAGTGTGTGTGTGTGTGTGTGTGTGTGTGTGTGTGTGTGTGTGTGTGTGTGTGTGTGTGTGTGTGTGTGTGTGTGTGTGTGTGTGTGTGTGTGTGTGTGTGTGTGTGTGTGTGTGTGTGTGTGTGTGTGGTGTGTGTGTGTGTGTGTGTGTGTGTGTGTGTGTGTGTGTGTGTGTGTGTGTGTGTGTGTGTGTGTGTGTGTGTGTGTGTGTGTGTGTGTGTGTGTGTGTGTGTGTGTGTGTGTGATCAGCCTGACAGCCAAGCCCCCGTTAGTTTTAACTGTGGAATACTTTATTGTTAACAGCTATTCTCACTTTGAAGTATACCATTTTCTTTTCTGGTGATCATTTCCACTCCCCTGTTTGTCTGGAAAGGGATTTAAAAAAAAGATTTTTGTTGAGGAATGCAGTCAGCTGCATCCATTTAAGTGTTTGTTTCTGGAGAGCGAGCACGCGCCAAGCACACCACCGCCCTTCATCTCGCCTCTGCCAAGTGCAATCTGTTAAAGCCACGGTGCGAGGGCTGAGGGGGAGAATTAAATGACTATAACGCCCCAGAAATGTGGGCCATTCATCCTCAATAGACAGCAGTATGTTATTTCTTCCTGATAATTTGCAGATGCTTTTCTAGAAGTGTCTGCAGCCCTACTACCGGGGGAGTGGAATAAAGAAGAAGAGACAGATTAGTCCCCTCTACGGTTGTTTGAATGTTGCTACTTCCAGGAGTCAGGCTGCTGAGTGGGAGAGATATGCATGAAGGCTCCTGTGCCTCTGAGATTCTGTCCCTGTCACTCGGTCACAGCCGGGCTTTGCATGGGATGAGAAGTCTCTGGTGGTCCGAGCGGCCTCATTAACCCTCTTTTCATTTTTATCCTTTCTTTTCCTTCCCTCTCGTATAATTCTCTCCCACTTTCTTCTCTGTTGCTCCCGCCTTTTTCCTTGTGTCTTCCTGCTACCTCCTCTCCTCTTCATATCCTCACCCCCCTTTAAACCTTTGAACAAGAGAAGCTGAACTGATTTCCTGCCAAGCTGCTGCTACTGGCTATTGTGTGCACTGCCACAGAGTGAAAGGCTTCCAGGGCTATTGAGTGTGCCACTACAGCCGAAACAGCCTTCACTTTTACTCCCTACTCTGCAAATCAACATCCCTGCCATTTCAGAGAACTTGTTTAAATTCAGTTCATAGTTCATTTCTGGCTTTAAATACAATCCATTGTTAAATCTGAATTGAATCTGAATTTTAAATATATATTTTACAACTGCAATGTTTCCATTAGGAAAAAAGCCCCAAGAGAGGTCACTAAAAGCTAAGAGTCTTTCACCCTGAAGTGCCAACAACTCTAAGCTGCTCTGAAAGCACTGCATTAGGTGACTCATTCATTAAATAAATGGTTTTGAACAAATAATTTATTTTAATGCTGATTAAAAAAAATCGTTTTAATAAGAATACACATTTTTCCACTTCCATCAAGCAAATCTTAAACTCTGAAGTGGGGGGGGGGGGGGGGGACTGGGGTTCAGTTGGGAATTAAACAGTGTAGAGTGGCCTTTGAAAGTACCACGAGCAGGGGGTGGAGGTGGGGGGCTTTTGTTAGGGGACCAACATGTTGCATAGGCAAAGTGGGCAAGGTATTTTTATATTTAGTGCCAGAAAATGAATTTAACCAAAAATCGTTCTTAAATAACCTCCACAGCATTGTTTGTAACTGGATTATAAGTATAGTCTAATTCAAACTGATGTTAATTTCATACATTGTCGTGGCTTAACAGACAGTGGTACATACATTTTCTTTTAACTTGTTTTAGCTAGTGCATAATCTGAATTGCCGCCATTGTTCTAAAACAATACCCATTAATCTAGTTAATTAATTCTCTTGTGCATGTTTCATGTAGCTAGAGGTTAGCATGGGTCTTCTAACAGCTGGCTGATGCCTCCTCAGAGCTTTGCTTCATAACTGATGTGCTTCAGAGGTCAGCCTCCGTCTGGCCCCGCTATCTACATCGAAAATCTTCTCTTGCTTTGCCCCCAGAGGCCTTCCACTCCCACTGGAGGAAAACATTCTTATTTTATTAATTTCCTCTGTCTCAAACTGTGACAAGAATCCCTCATTTAGCTGGTTCTGCGTGACAGAGCTGGTGTTCAGCAGTTGGAGAGGACCCAAGTGGCGTGAGAAGTGCAATGAGCAGTCAGTTGCCAGCTGTATACTGCTGCACTGGGCTTCACACTGTGGTGAGCCTAACTAATGTGAAGTTTAACACAAAAACACAAACATAGGCATGTAGATCAAATTAAATACAAAGCATACCTGGGATCTCTTTATATCAATTGTTTCTTCTACTTGTACTGCGCCCATGTTTCTTCAGATTTTCCTGATCTCACATCCTCATATAACGGTCATGCTTTACAGTGAAATTATAACCGTTATTGTACCTCGTCCTGCCACAATAACACAGCCTTCCACAGTCTAATGTAATGGGGGAATGATTAGGGCAATCACACAGTAATTGTCCATTTTCATTAGACCTTTTTTTTCATCCTACATCTTTACAGCCCATCATCCATCTCCTACACATTAATACTCAGGTTAATGTGGTGCAAAACACATAACCATTAGATTAAAATGTGTACTATAATCTATACAAAATATTTGCCTACTTAATTCTCTTTAGTTTAATTGCACATTTCTCCCTAAGATGGGAGGGTAGACCAACAGTTCTTTGTTAAACTGTCAGCAATTGGCTTTTACTGAGAGGGTGTCACACACGGGAGGATCTTTTACTCCTTGACTATTAGGAAATGGCTAGATTAACATGAATATTGATTTCAGCACTCTGAGGTGAAACATATTGAAGATTAAAAGACTACTAACTCTAATTTGCCCTGGGATCTTTAAGCATTTTGAGGTTGGTTAGGTAAGGGAATGGTAGATGATGTGGGAGGAGTCTCATGGCTTCTTTATATGGTCAGAGCTACAGCTATTGTTCTGCTGTTACCGTTTCACATCTGGACTGAATCTGCATCAGACACGACTCACTGCTTTAAGCTGCGCCCACAGCCTGTAATTACAGTGAGTTTTGTGTAAAGAATTGAGCACTCACCTGTGTGTTAATGTGTTCTCACCCATGTCAGTTTAGCTTGTTGCACATTACAGAAGATGTGTCCCTTATGGCACATTTCACAACATCTGCTCTGGCCATCCTTCTCCTTGGTCTAATGCCGTCAGCTCTTTGTTGGCCCTTTGAAAATGTTATTTTTTACATCTTTAATTTGGGTGGCAAAATAGAATTAGAATAGGGCTACCATTGTTTTTTTTATTCTACCCTCCTGTAATTTAGTTTTTCCCAATTCCAACAGGTGTGATACTTGTTTGGAAAATGTTTATCTTAGTAACACAGTGGAACAATGGAACACATACACAGGGAGACTTTAATATATACAGCTCTAGAAAAAATTGAGAGACCACTGCCGCGTTATCAGTTTCTCTGGTTTGACTATTTATAGGTATGTGTTTGATTAGGATGAACATTATATCTTATTCTATAAACTACTGATTACATTTATCTGTCATGGAATTCAACAGACACTGGAATGGAATGGCTGCCATACATGTAGAGATTGAGATTGAAGAAAAATGTGAAGTGGTCTCTTAATTTTTTCCAGGGTTGTGTATATATATATATATACTGTATATACATACCGATGTTCCCTCTCAATTTGCATTAATTTGATCCGGTGTAGAAATGAACTCACAAACCTGAAACCTGCTATGGAGAGGTCACGGTGAACATCCTGCCGGCTTTCAATTTTGTCAGCTTTGCATTATTGTTATATGGTAATACAGAGCAGACTTTGCATATCATTGAACCGCATTATTATGCAAAAATGACATTAACTCTGACAGCATTAAAGGTGACACATCGTTTATGTGATTGATTACCTAAATCCACCATGTATCATGTCTCTTAAACTGATCTTCATACCTAAATGGAAATTGAAAAAGTTGGGGAAAAAAAACGTTTTCTTTTCATCTACCCTCTTATTTTGCATGTTGATGTGTTTCAATCATTTAAGTGATTCTGTTTCAAGAAAGGATTACTGTAAAAAAGCACGAGTCAGTTTGTCTCTTCCTCAAGGACTCTTTGAAAGGACACGAGTGACAATCTGTCCAAACCTTTGACACTTTACTTATGAAACCGTCTTTGTGACAACGAGACCATTCTGCTGCTAACCACTCTTCTTCATCTCCAGGAATGCGAAGCTCCTACGCCAGTCAACACAGCCAGCTGGGCCAGGACTTAAGGCCGGCCATGTCTCCAGACCGCCACATCGCACCCATCTACGAGGATCGGACGTTCCAGGGCCCGTTGTACCGCAGCCCGAGCCAGTCCCAGCCGGGCACGCTCTACAGGAGCTCCTCAGGTTGGTACAACGTTACTCTAGGACATGACGTCTATATAAAACAAAATCAAAGATACACTTGTCCTTGTGTATTGACCTAATTGCTATTTGCCATTTATTGTCTGCCACTTTGTGATGATGCATTACTGCAGATGATAAATACTTTCCATTGTTCTGTGAATCTGATTTGCAAGATGTTTTTCTCACCAAATGAAAGCTGTCAAAGAAAGTTCAAAGGAATAGTTCCCACAGGATCTTTAAGTCCTTGAAAGTTGACAAGTTGATGGAAAAAATCTCATAAAGTCTTGCAAATGATTGAAAATATATATTGGGCATGAAGTTGCTTAAATATATATATTTAATGTAAAGAGGGAAATTGATTGCCTGGTACACGCAAAGTAATTTTGCTACTAGTTTAGTCACCAGGTAGCTTAATTTAGTAAAATACTAACATATGGAAGGGGCATTTGAGAACATACTTATATAATCGTAAATATCCTTAATCTGGTGATGGTTAGTTGGTTATCATTCCTTACCTCCTGCCTCCTAGGCGATATAGTGATGGTCCAAAAAGTTGGATACCCCTGCTATAGCTTACAAACAATAACGTTTTGTTCAGATATTGTGTGTAACGGGTCAGGCTATGAAATAATTTCCAAACACAACAGAAACCCCATGCGGTTCTCTTAATTTCCTGCATTTTCTGTCCTCCTACCCCGAGCTGTCTCTGCATCATCATTCAAGTCAAGATCAGCTCTCTCTAAACATTTTCATTTCAAGCAGACCTTTCTTGGCCATAAGAGCACTCTTTCTTTCTTTAATCTAGTATTGACGTTCTATTTATTCTCTCCAAGTATTTTCAATCAAGTCTGTTGCCTCTGCTGTATTGTCTTTCTCAGAGAACACCATTTCTATGTCAGTCTGCCCTTTAGCTCTACTGCTACCTATGTCTTGCTTTTATCCCTGGCTATATTTTTATCTCACTCTGTCGCCCTCTCCTACCCTGCCTCCCTTCCGTTCCTCCCTCCTCTGTCAGCGGAAAGGGTGAGACATGAGTTAATAGGCAGGTACTGATATGTCATCCTGCCACAAAGGAGTCCATTACCCGTGTGTCACCGTGAGAATGGGGAGAAGGATGGAGGGGCCAGGGGACAGCTTGGTTACCCTCATCCACATCTCATCCAGCTCTCCTGTTGTTGGCATTCCCCTCTCATCTTCCCTCAGACACACATGCTTAGTTTTTACTGACACACACCCTCCGTTCAGCCTTCTTCTTGGCACACAGGAGATCTGCTTAGACCAATGAGTGCACTAATAAATTGCTATTGATGCTGTAAATAAGCCCCCAGACAAGCCATACATAATGTGTTTATGCCAGCTATATGAGGAGGGTGGAGCTGGAAGAGTTTTTCAATATGGAGCCTTTGTAAAAGCAACTTCGTATAAAAAAAAAAAATCCAATTTGATCACAGAGTTTTCTTTATGTTGTGTAAATTACATTTCCTTGGGCTATTTCCTTCCGCTTGCAATGCATTTTCTGGAAGCGGCAATCTAGTTCTTTACATTGCTCAGAAATATTGACCCTTGGCTGAGAAGATGAGTAGTGCAAAGCTACACTATGTGCTTTATAAATTGTCCTCCATTGTCTTTGGCTCCTTTTCGGGAGATAACCATATTGCAGGATAGACCAAAATAGAAGTGCACTGAAGTGAGAAATTGTGTTTTTGGTGCAGCCTCAAAAGTCGACGTCTTGCTTTCTGGTAGGAGGGAGTATGAGCACGCACATGCTCAGTGCTGTTGGCACTCTGATAGGGATCTGACCAGCGCAGCACTGCCACACATCACATGGCTCGGGTGAGAAGGAGGGCTAATCCAAGCAGCTTGTTTATGCAGTTCTGTGTTTGTGACCCTCTGTGTTAGAAAACTAGGTCAGAAAATGACTTGGAGCGAATGTGGAAAGACGACTGAAACAAGATGCTATCAGGCTGAATGTTGGACCATGTTGGAAAGGATAACTTCTCTGCATGTTTGCGATGCTTCCACTTAACTTGTGTACCTCTGACTGTTTTTGGAGCTGCTCATGGTCTACTGTTGCCCCTCTGCTGAGTTTGGCAAAGTTAGCCTGAGGACACAGTGGCACAAAGGAGCGAGAAGCGGGTGAGGAAAGGATTTGGAGAGCATGTTGAGTCCTCTTTGAAAACCAGCAGGATCCCTCCGGGTTAAACGCAATCTTGTAAAAACAAAACAACATGCAAACAGCCCCTTGAAGAAGAAGACTTCTGCTTTGTGTAGCTAAGGGAGCTTTGTTTTATCCTCATCGTTAATTGGTTCCAGATTTCAGAATTTGCTGAGTCTGACGGAACGGCCGCATGTTTGTATTTTCAGCTCGCTTTAAAGTGTAATGGTAGCGCCATTCAAAGCTCAGAGTTTAGCTGAAAAGGTTTGAACGCTGCTAATCTCCACTAACATGGCTTTGTCCACTCGCTTTTGTGTTTTTTTTTCTCTTGTTAAACTTTTGTTTCCCTGGACCTTCAGGTGTGGGGAGTCTCCAGCGCACACCCAGCCAGCGCGGTACGATGATCTACCAAAGAAACAACTATGCTCTGAACACAGCAGCCACCTATGCTGATCCGTATCGCTCAGCGCAGTACCGGCCGTCCGATCAAAACTACACCCGCCAGGCTGTTGTCATGGACGACGGTGCAACTCGCTCACCCTCCATAGACAGCATTCAGAAGGATCCCAGGTATGTCATATTTCACTGTAATGTTTCTAAACTACTAGATGTAGTCAGAGGCTAGCAGACAGCGTAGTGTAGCAGGAAACAGTCATCCGGAGGGACTATTATGCTTACAAGGCATCCCTGTTTCTGCTGGGTCAACACTGGTCTCCTCTTACTGTTCAAACAGCGAGCCCCCCCCCCTGGGTAGTCACATGCAGCTCTAGCTTTTAAGCTGCCTCTACTATGCCTGGCCCCTTAACAATAGCCTCTCACATGCACCAATCTGCTGCGTCTGCTCTTGTCGTACAGTCATGTGTAAGCGCGGAAAGCGGGTTGACCTCTGTCGTAGGCCCCTGACCTTGCACGTTGGGAGCTTTGTTTACACGCGTGTATGTTGCTGTAGTGTAACTACTTGAAGAGAGTGCACCAGGGAGGCAACCGTGACCCAGGTCCGTTAGTAAGAGCATCAGAGTAATATGTCCTCCTGGAATATTTAACAGGATCTCTGTCCAGGGAAATGCACTGTGTGTTTTTTTAGCTTTGTGCTGTGGAGAAACAACACAACTACTGTAAAAGAGTTTGACCTGCCTGGGGTCGTGCTTTACTCTGTGAGACAAAAGCATAATCAACCACTATTCAAACACCAGCATTCTCATTATGTCACCTACTTTTGAATACATGTATGGAGAATTTGAGTATCTTAAAACAATCATTTCTAGAGACGATGCATTCCTCATGTGTTTCTTTAGTGGCCTGCATACAGAAAAGCAGTTATCCAAGTGCATTGTTGTATAGAACCGGATTTGAATGTAATTTCCTCGGCTTATTGCTTTGCCCTGAGGTGCTCAAGATTTAGGGAAACTGTGCCCGTGTTTTTAAGGAGACAAATGTATGTCCACCTCTGCAGTCATACTGATACCTTTTGTACCCTACCTGTCATTTTAGGGAGTTTGCTTGGCGGGACCCAGAGCTGTTGGAGGTGATTCAGATGCTGCAGCACCACTTCCCCTCGGTGCAGGCCAACGCAGCCGCCTACCTGCAGCACCTGTGCTTTGGGGATAATCGGATTAAGACTGAGGTAGGTGTTCACTCAACCACCTTAACTTCTGATCATTTGTAAATATTATGTAAATGTTTTTGTGTTTTCATCAGTTCCGATTGTGTCATGTTTTAGCTGCAACTTATTGTTATTTTTGTAACTTCCAGCCATTTGCTATATTGATTTTTATATTGAGTTTGGTCCAACAGGGAAACAAAGATATTTTTCAGACGGTCAGACAAATTGTAAACCTTATCCTTAAAATAAGATTTGATTTAATTTGATATAATTTAATTTGATTCGTCTGCTTATTAGAATTTATTTTAGCCCAACTGTGCTGTTCTTTTAAGAATAATCAAACAAAAAAATCATCACTTGAATTGACAGAAACAAACAATGTTTAAACATTTAACACTTAAAACCCACGATTATACCCTCAGTTGGGTCAGGTCGTTTATTCCACCTTAGACAAGCCTGTGAATAGAATGATTTTTACTGAGCTCTAAATTTGACTTTAGAAGACATCATTTGTGCCTGTGGTTGTTATTAAATTGACAAACTGTCTCTCTAACGAACAAGGTAATAGATTGTTATTTGGAAGAACAAACAAAATATAACCCAAACATCCATCAGACTCACTCCACAGAGAAACGTTCTGCTTTAAGTTTGACCTTCCAAACCGACTTTAGTTGTGCACCCTCACAGTTTTCCATCGCAATTATACCGCCTAATAATGTTCTAGCTAATCTGCCAAATCCGCTGGCTAATCTCGTTCTTTTATGTGGCATTATGGGACATATTTTTAGCGCTCTCGTTCTGCTCCAAAACCCCAGACATTACTTTGGTGAGTCAATGTCATTAGAACCAAGAGAAGTGATGGGCTGGAGCTGCAAAACTAAAGCAGAGCTGTCGGTCAGAAAGACAGCCCACCACTTTGATCCAGACTGAAATATTGTCACCACTATTGAGAGAATTAAGACATTAAAACATGTGCAAGGACATTCATGTTCCCCAGAGTATGAAACCTTTACTGCAAGTGTACACACATAAAAGTACACATTCTCACTGCTGAATCATACCCATTGAAAAAATAGCCTACATACAGCAGCAGTTTAAATGCATTTTTGTATTCTTACATGGCAAATGTCGACATAGCACAACATTCCTCATACTATACAATGAAACGCAGAAGGCTTATTTGGATAACGCATTTTTTCTTCTATTACGTTTCATTCTGTTTCCAGGTGAAAATGTTAATTACGTTTTTTAATCCTTAGTAAAGATTTTTCTCTGAGGTCATACATTTGCATCACTTTTCCAAATAATTGTACCTCGGTATGAATAACTCCCCCGTGCTAAGATTATTGTCACATGAATAAATGCATGATTTAGCTCTGAAAGGTATATATTAAAAGCTGAAGAAATGCTGTTGGTGGTCACAATCGTTTTCCCGCCTGATCTCACTCACATTGTCCGCAGGTGTGTCGACTGGGAGGGATTAAACATCTGGTGGACTTACTGGACCACAAGGTCATAGACGTCCAGAAGAACTCTTGTGGAGCAGTGAGGAACCTGGTCTACGGGAAAGCCATGGACGAGAACAAGGTCGCTGTGAGGAACGCAGGAGGCGTCCCCGCTCTGCTGCGCCTGCTGAGGAAGACTGTGGATGCAGAAGTGCGGGAGCTTGTCACAGGTAGGTCAGCGTGTGGGAAGGATAAAAAGGAATGTTCACTTTAATAGCTTTCCACACATCTTTGCATGTTTGTTTCCCTCCAACTCATTTTACACTCTTCTACAAAATGATGATCCACTATAAAGCTCCTCCATCTGGCATACAAAAAAAGCAAAACACACTTTCTTTAAACTAACCCTGTTTAATAAGTATTTTCATCACTGATGCATACATTTGGGAAATCTCAAAACCCAAAGACATTTCATTTACACTTATTTAAAAGAGGGAAAGTCACCAAATTGTCAGCTTTATAATGAGTTTCAGCTCATTTTTCATCTCAGCCTGGATATCTATTTTTTAATTGTCACTGCTTTCTTGGAGAATTAGAGGTCGGAGGATTATGACGAGACAGGAACATTGTGCATAAGATTATATACCTGACAAACCTGGAGGGGTTTTAGGAGGGATTGGTATTGCACTGTTTTGGTTTGGTTGCTCATGACTCTTGGTGTAGTCTCTGAGGGGTAACCTGATGCTTCCTGTCATAGGTAATCCTTGAGATGAGGTGTAAACTAAGATATTCTGTTCAACTAATTAAACAGACTGCTTACGTGGTCTATACTGAGTCAGAATTACATTTTCTTAAATTGCTGCCACTGCTGTCACAACTGCTTATGATATATCCAAGGAATTTAAACCACATTTCAACAGGATTCATATTCTTTTATTAATTTGTCTGCGGAGAGATTCAGCTCCGTCTGAGAACAGTCTGTTGTCAGTCTCCTCCTCCCTGCATTGCAGCTCAGTTGTGTTTGTGTGTCTGAGCTCCGCAAACAGGGTACAAATCCATGTTGTTTAGGATCAGGGTGGAGCACTACAGAAACAAGCTAGCCAAGACATTTGGCTCCCAGGTGGCTGAGTCAGCTGCTTGAGCTCCACTCCGGCCCCCGCTCATGTGTTATCGGGTTACAGTCCAGCAGTGGGAGTCAGAACAAAACACTCTGTAGCCTTTTCATATTGTCTTTCCATTCATATATTCATATTGTCTTCAGTTTCCTGTTTCAATTAACTGTCTGCTTACTAACACAAATAGATTCACATTTTAATATAGCATTTTTTTTTCTTCTAATGCTTATAATTAAAGGTGGGGTATGTAATTTTGGAGAAACCAGCTTGAGTGCGCTAGAATTTGAAAATACACAGCCGGACAAAATCTGCCACTTCCTTACAGAGCCCCTCCTCCAACACACACGAACGCGCACATGACCAATGAGGGCACGAGATAAGTTTGTGCACAGATGGAAGGCTGACAGGCAGGTAGGCCATCCAGTTATTTTAGCCGGGCCGGCTAAAATGATTGGTCGTACTTTTTACAGTACTACGGCTTCCACAGATGACATTTTGTTATGGATTTTTTGTCAAAGTACTTAAGATATTCATTGCTATCGGGATGTTAAGAGCATTCCATGGAATATAACAAAAAGTGTATCTCGAGCCGGTTTCTCAAACTTACCTACCCCACCTTTAAGTACATAGGAGTAAGAGCGTGATGACCACTACAATGGATTTAACTCCCTTCATTTACATTTCAAAAAGTTGCATGGATGTGCCGCCCAGCCAGAGTAAGCGGCTTTAATGTGAGTTCTGTTTAAGATTCTTCCCCTTTCATCCACTAGCCTGAGAGCCTGCTGCGGTTAATTGGTAGTGCAGGCCTCTGGATGGGGAGCAATTAGAAAAGGTCGTAAGTGCTACATCACCTCTGGTTAATTACAGCTGATGAGAACAATCCACAAAGAGCTTTTAGCTGGATGGCGAGGTCGTCCCACCCACACTAAAGTGAGGCCGACAGCAATCATTCACTCACCGGCGACTCTTTCCTACCTATAAAGCACAGTTATGGCAAACGTGTATATAGATTAATAACGTCTCCAAAGCAGCATCAGTGTTGTCAGAGCTAGTGAGGAAATCCTTATCTACTCTCCTGAGACATCCAGGTGTCACGTGTGTTTCAGTGGAAGAAGCTGTACGAACAGGCCCCCCCCCCCCTGCTCAGGTCAGAGGTCATGTTGTGGGGAATCATAAAAGATCTTCCTTACCTGCCTCGTCTCCCAGCAGCTGTTGTGGTTATTGCCCTGACCTGAAACCGCCCCTGAGATCAAAAGGCTCACTGCACTGTCATCAGCTCCAATACTGGGGACACCTGAAACTCACACACACACACACACACACACACACACACACACACACACACACACACACACACACACACACACACACACACACACACACACACACACAAAAGCACAAGCACACACAAGCACAAGCACACACAAGCAATGCTCCACTTATCTTGGCTCCACTTTAGCAAACTCCACTACTCTTACTCCTGTTTGTATTGTGTTTGAACTTGTTGGAGTCATTGTGTTGCCTTAAGTGCAACTCAGTTTGTTTAAAGATACATTTATTGGTCTTGCAGAATTTCTTTTTTTTTATGTCATCTGTGAACATGCCAATTCAATAAGATTTTTGAGTCAGCAGCAACTGTAACACTATGTTATCATTGTGTTTTTTGTATTTCATTCTGCCACAGTCCTGCTCTTCAGGAGATTATATATTATTTGTTCCAATAAAAACGTAATTGTCTAGGAACTGGTGAACTCTATATGTAGTAGGCCTACATTGAAAATTATTTTGGTTCTCAAACGATGCACTATCAGAAGAGCATCAAAAACCACATAGGCCCGGTGGTGTAGTGGGCGTTGGACGCGGGGGTACACCGTACCCCCACTTATTTGAAGCATGATTTTTTTTTTAACAGTCTAATAAATATAAAATCATTGCCAGTGTTATCAGTTGCAAGTGTGTATTTGTTGTAATAATGACGACAACATAATAGGCAGATTTCACAGTAATTAAAACGTTGCTCAAGCATTTATGCAACTTGATTTGAAGCATGTGTGTGTGAGGGGCAGCACCGTGTGTGTGTGTGTGTGTGTGTGTGTGTAGGGTGACCAGGTGTCCCGCTTTGTGTGGGACTGCACACACAGCATTTTTATTATTTGTCCCGCGTCCCACAAATTGAGACTATGTCCCGCATTTGAGTGACAGTCGCACAGGAAGGCCGGATTGGTTCCATGACGGCCGGCACCGCCCTTTATTATTATATTGTTTAAACGGCATCATGTTGAGCTGGCAGGCGACACAGAGGTCCACAGTGTACCCCCCCCCCCCCCCCCCCCCCCCGTTGACAGTACACGAGCGCGTCCATAGTGTCTCCGTCCACCCCGTCCACCCAGTAAAACAAATCCCCACTACACCACTGCATAGGCCATAGGCCTGCCTGGTTGCCGAACAAATAATAAGCAGGTTAAGACCTGTTAATCAAATAAAAACGGTAATAAATAAATGCAGTTATAGCTGTAAGCAACAATGTGCTGACTTCCAATGCATGAGTGAGAAAAATGAGAAACACCCACTAACCTCAAAAGCACACACCAAGCAGCCTGTGTGAGGGTTAGTCGATGCAGCATTGACACGTTTTCAGTTCAGCTCCCAAATATTTGAAAGGGTAATAAATTGGGAGGTTTTTTGAATGATCAGCAGATTTTCAAAGAATGAATTTATGGCCCACCAAGTTAATGCACCTGACAGAGTCAATGATATGCTGACCTGTGGTTGTTCATTGTTCAAAGAAGCGGTCAGACCTTTCAGGGGCTTAGGGTGAGCCGTAGGGTCGCCGGTTCAAGTCCCCGACCAGACCTAAATATGGAGTGTGGACTTCTAATTGGAGAGGTCCCAGTTCACCTCCTGCCCTGCCGTGGTGCCCTTGAGCAAGGCACCGGACATCCCCCTTCCCCCCTCACTCCCATTGCTCCCCGGGCGCTGTACAATAGCTGCCCACTGCTCCTAGTACTAGACTCCTGGTACTAAGATGGGTTAAAAGCAGAGAACAAATGTCACTGTGTGTGCTGTGTGACCATTAAAGAGGGTTTCATCCCTCCCAATTATTCTTCTTCTATATAAGTTTAATTGTCTAATACCATTAGACTTTATTGTCGGATCAAGTCTAAAATGTTCCTTGCATCACAGCAAAGGACAAATATTTAAGACAAGATATAAGGAAACAGACATTTAACAGTGTTTGTCTATTGTGTAGCTTTGTTAGGCACACATACTAGAAGCATGGAGAAACTGCAGGCATGTGCTACGGTAAATGTTTTTGACTGATTGACACACAAAACCATTTTAGTTTGGAGTCATTGTCATTATTACAGCATAACTTTTTAATTCAATGCAACTTTATAAATACACAACGGCAATTTAATTTAGGCTGGTAATGTGTACAGACACATGCACATACAGACATTTACAAGCCATGTAGCGGGTTAAGACCATGTTGGGGTGTTGGTAGAATAGCCTAAAAAAATAGGTGAATATAAAATCAGCTGGCTGTATATGCTCCAAATGTTTGGATGCCGTTTGTATAAGGGTTACCACCCCTTGTTGTCTCTTAAAGACCTCTCTTTCCCATCATGCCCTGTGTTTCTTACTATCAAGTATCCAATGAAAGCAAAAATGTCATAAAAATACGTATCATTCTGCACCTTTGCAAGATGATATACCTCATCATGAATCTGTTTCTGTAATTCAGCCTCACATTTTTGTGCCACAATGAATCTGTTTAAGCAACCTCTTTATGTGCTCGTAATATGTATGAGAGTATGTCTACTAAAAAGTTGCACTCTGCACTGTGATTTTTATACATACAGTTGGCTCTGTGCCCGGTGTTGACAGCCTGCAGTGTTGCTTGTGGCAGAGGACACAGATAAAAAAACAAGGAAGAAAAGGCCTGTTTTATACACTATAACTGCTTTTTATATTGCTTATTAACTAAATATTGTGCTCATTCATTTGTAGACAATTGTATTTTTCTGCTTTATTGTTTATTGCTTAATGTTGAGACATTGTCCATGCTGCCTTCTTGGACTGGTCACTCTTGAAAAATCTGTTCTGAATCTGAAATTGAGCATCAAAGCCCCAGAAAGCACCACAGCTGAGCTACCTCAGTTAGCTCTTGGATCAATACTTCAACAGCTGTTAGATACATTTGACCAGCTTATGTATTTTCTTTTCTTTTCTCTATTTCTGTATAGAGCCTCTCCCTCTGGCTCTCTGGATTGACTATTGGCCCGGTTTGTCACAACACTGTTTACATTGGGTCGATGTTTCAAAGCCAGGCTAAGGCACCTGAGAACATGAGCAAATACACTGTTGTCCACACACAGATGCACAGACACATACACACATGTATTCTGTCAGATATGACTTATTGCCGCTAGTGTAGCAGCACTGACAGCAATGTCAGTCACACCTCAGTGAATTTGCCTGTTGATTTCACCGTCAGTCACCGCAGGACCTGTCTTAAATCCTGCAGAGAAGGTTTAGTTTCTACAAATTGACAGTAGAGCGGGTGTTGAGGAACTAGGGTGGAACTGTGGAGTGAAAAGGAACAGTGAAATTGGTCAGCAGGCGTGAGAAAGTGTGTATTAATTTATCACTGCATTATTAGTGGTTCTATTTCTGGGCAATCCACGTGTGTGTGAGTATCCCGTGAGAAAGGCAAACACAGGAGTGGATTTGTAAAGAGCAGATCACGACAGAAGGATTTTATAGAAATGTTTCCCGCTGCATGAGCAGAGCAGAGATGTTAGCCCCGCCTGATGCTAGTGTCTCACTATGTAGCCACACATACACCACTGGCAAGATCTATATGTCAACTTTCAAGAGCCAAATATCACTTCATTTGTTTTGATATTGTGTCAAAATAAATAAAAGATTTTAATGGGTTTTAAAAAACGCTTTGATGTGTGGGTTAGTAAGGATAATAGTAAGCAAATTGGCTCTTGATTAAATGACTCAAAGAGACGCTGCTTGGCAGACACATTTCTCTCTTTATAGCTTCTTGCCAGCAGTATGTCTGAATTGGGCTCCTGGGTTATATTATAGACTATTATCGTCTCCATCGGTTCAATTAGAGGGAAGGGGAACAGCGTGCTGAGAAAAAAATAAAATGTGAAGTTAGAAGGAAGCCATACAAGCCAATCATTATTTAGCTCCCGTTGAGATGTCGCTGTATACAAGACAAACACATACAGAGTTTAGTTTGATAGCATTCCCTTCTCTGTAAGTCATGTACTTTATTATACATTTAAATAAGGTTAGAAGTAGTATAGCAACATTGGACACACACATAGTAGAAAGGTCATGAAGCTACTACATTTGGACTACTGAACACACATACTGTACATGCACTCTAGTTTTGTTGAAGCAGCATTTTTAAGCATTAGCCTTGTATCATGTATTTAGCCCCGGGGCTTTACACTAGATTCCAGCACGTGCTGCGTTAGCCCCCCCCCCCCCCCCCCCCCCCCCAACCGAGGTTGCTGGTGCCCTGCACAAGTCAGCCTGTGCCTCAGCATAAGCCTAGCAGCGAGAGGCATCTAATTAGAAGAACATGCTACATGCTGGCTAATCCTTGACAGATGCAGCATCAAAAGCTGCCCGGACTGTGCATGATTATCAGTGGTTACCCAAAGTATTTTGAATTGAGTGAAGTGATGGCATGATTTCCAAATCCTTTTACATTATTTATATTTCATTTAAAACGTCTGAGTCTATGCCATATGGATCTCTGCTCTTCTCTTTCTTTTTCCCCCCCGTCTAAAGTAAATAATCTTCGCCCTGAGGACATTCGACTCAGATGAAATTTGATGTGAATGCCTTGATGCTCGAGCTGTTGTTTCATTTGTACATTGTTTGTGTGTGTGCGTGTGTCCCTGCTTGTTGTTCCACACACACTGAGCTATTAAAAGCCCAAGTGGTTGGTATCTCTGTGGGGTTACCCTAACTGCACATGACAGCTGACATAAACAGGAGTTTGCGTGCTCGTTCCTAACTGTCTGTGTGTGTGTGTGTGTGTGTGTGCTGGTGATTCTCCACAGGGGTGCTGTGGAACCTGTCGTCATGCGACACTGTCAAGATGACAATCATCCGGGACGCCTTAATGACTCTGACCAACACTGTGATCATCCCTCACTCTGGATGGAGCAGCTCCACCTTCGATGACGACCATAAGTTGAAGTTCCACTCCTCACTGGTGCTGAGGAACACCACAGGCTGTCTGAGGTAAACCACCTGAAGAACACACTGGGCACTAGCACCCCTATGTGGACAACTCGCGCTATTACATCCGATGTGGGGACGAGCTCATGATGAGGGTCCTTTGTAGATAACTATGTTAATGTAGTCTTTGAAGATTTGTAAGATAATATAATGCTGGAGTGACAAACATAAACACAACAAAGTCAATTTGAGAGACTAATGAAGAGTAACAAATTATATCAGAACAGTTTTGTATCATGAATAATGATTTTAATGTACAACATCAAACGAAAAATGATATAAGCATTAGTAATTGGTTTAGTCATATAACTTTGTTTTCACCCATATCTCTGTTTCTGAGTCATTATCATTACTTAGAATATTACAGACAATGATGTAATATTCCCAGCTTCTCTCCGAGGGAGTTTTCTTTTGAAGCTATTGTGAGGCATCTAAAGTTAAGCCTTTCATGGTAATGTTTGTTGATCCAAGTGTGTGTGTGTGTGAGTGAGGGTCTGTGTGTGGGTGAGCTCACTTTGTTAATTCCTTATTTACTCAGCAAAGTCCTATAATGACTTCAGTCAGACCACACACACACACACTTCATGCATTATGGATGGTGTAAGGGGAATAGCAAAGGCCAGGTTACACACTGAAGTGGGACACACGCAAACAGCTGTTATTGTCTGTATTGTTTGCACATTTGTTTGTTGAGCAAGCCCCAAATCAAAGACCTTATTTTTGTGTGTGTGATGTTCTTCTTGAAAGGAACCTGAGTTCAGCTGGTGAGGAGGCGAGAAAACAGATGCGAGTTTGTGAGGGCCTAGTTGACTCACTGCTCTACGTCATCAAAGCCTGTGTGAACACCTCTGACTTCGACAGCAAGGTATACACACGCGCGCACACACACATACACATACACATACACATACACATACACATACACTCACACTAAGCGAGGCCAAAACATGCTGCCACATGGTATGATGCTCTGGGGAAGAATCCCCCTTAACCCTGTTTAAATCCTTTCATTTCCTGTGTCTGAACAGTCAGCATTCAGCAGCAACTATTGTACTATGTACTTTATGTATGAACTCATGCACTCACAACATTCAGAATCCAATAGATCATAGCTCATTGACCTGGTAACTTTTAAATGTTTCAATGGTATCAGTATAAATTAAATCTGAACTCTGGATCTGCACTTTAAAAGACAAAAATACATTCAAGTGGCTCATCTGTATAGAGGAGATCGCCTCCCCTGGGAACTGGGCCTATTCATGTCAAACATTTATGCCCATTGACATTCTGTAAGGAGAAGTCTGCAAAGAACTCAAACAGCGTGGAAAAAAATCAATTTGCTCTGGTCAAGATATGCTTTCTAACTGGAGACCCTTGGGTTCCATAACCAATTGATTTGTTGCGCCTCCAATGGCTGGTCAGTGTACCACACATTGGCTGTAGATACATAGCGTGCTGCTCAGAGTTTATTGTATTGTAGCTTTTGTCATGGTGATTTAGAAACCTCGCTGCTAACAACCGTGCTAAACCCCTTTCTCCTTCTGCCCTGCATCAGATTGTGGAGAACTGCATTTGCACTCTGAGGAACCTGTCGTATCGTCTGGAGCTGGAGCTGCCCCCGTCCCGAATCATTGAAGGGCAGGAGCTTGACGGCTTACTGGGCAGCGAGACGCCCAGTAAAGAAGTGGATTCCAGCTGCTGGGGCAGGAAGAAGAAGAAGAAAAAAAAGGGCTCACCGGAAGACACAGTGAGTGTGGTTCTATGAGCAGTATTCAAATCAGCAATGAGTTTGATTTGTCCAAATGTAATCAACGTCTAAGTCAATATTAATGGAGATTGGATCCTAATGGACATTTCAGCAGGAGAAATCGATAAAATGTTTGCAAGAGGTACAGATGACACATATAAAAACATCTAGTGGCAACCTGTGTGTGCTTCATTGTGTATAGTAACATCTTTCAAACAAGGAATTATGGTTCATTATGCTACAAGATCATAGGTATTCTTTCCCATTAAAACTATAAATACACCTAAACTGCTGCACTATTATGTAGCACTATCTATTTATGATTACATTTGAATAAGACTCTTCTTTTTTTTAGCCTTCCCTGCCTTATTTGCAATAGGTATTCTATCACTTTTTATGAATAGTTGTTTTACATTTGATGCTTTTTAAAGAAAAACAAAAAGAAATAGTCTGCATCAGATCCCGGACTAAACACTTTAGTTGTTGTTTGTTTAGTGGGACGGTGTGGGACCCATCCCCGGCTTCTCCAAGTCTCCCAAGGGTGCAGAGATGCTGTGGCACCCTGCGGTGGTTAAGCCTTACCTGACACTGCTGGCTGAGAGTTCAAATCCCGCCACGCTGGAGGGCGCCGCTGGATCCCTTCAGAACCTGTCAGCCGGCAACTGGAAGGTACAGTAACGTGGAGAACCCAAGCACACCCAAAAACGTACTCTTACTATTATTGTATACCATAAAACAATCAATTGTACGTTTTAATGGCTTGTGTGTGTACAGTTTGCAGCATACATCCGTGCAGCAGTGCGTAAGGAGAAGGGACTGCCCATCCTGGTGGAACTGCTGCGGATGGATAACGACAGGGTGGTGTGTTCTGTTGCCACTGCTCTCAGAAACATGGCGCTAGACGTCAGGAACAAGGAGCTCATAGGTCAGTCACAATTTCAAACACCACACACTGTAATTGATTTGAGTGAGTTGAAAAAGAGGACCCACAAATATGTAGATTATAAATGCTTTTCTCCCCTGGGCTCAGCAGCTTTGGCTACATGCTCAGATGCGGCATATAACATGACAAATATACAGTATTGTGCTTTACAAACGCTTGATCTCACTGCCCAGTAACAACTTGTATCAAACGTTTTTTGACATACAAAGGACAATGTAAGACACATAATATTGTGGACATGTATTGTATTATTTGTATAAAAACGGTTTCATGCTTTGCATAATGGGGCTACTGACAGCAGGAACACTGTTGAACAATGTGTTTAAAATCTTTGTTGTTCAAATTAAATACAGAAATGGAACTAGAACATTTTTTAAACATTTAAACTCCAGGTTATTATTTCCATTTGATCTCACTCCAGCTCTCTTTGTTCCATAAAACATTTTTAAAAATCGTTTTTGATGTGATCTTTGTGTGGAATTAATGAGGAGTTATATTTCCAGCAATGCAGGGGTGACGCCTGTAGGCAGATGGGGAGGAGTTGCAGTGTTGTGTGAAAGGTGCTTTTGGTTGTGTGTGTGTGTGTGAGTGAGTTTATGCTGCATGTATGCAGGTCCTTCAGCTGAGCTGCTCTGCTGAAGGAGAGATAGGGGAAACAATAATTTTGTTATCATCAGGATGCTCACACACCGACGTCCTTGTAATGATAACGCAATGTCATTTAGGAAAACTGCCTACCTCGCTGCAGTCTTGTGCAGAATAATTATATCTTTCACAATGTGGGGAGAACCAATAAAGTGGAGGTCACAGTGGCAGAAATCAATGTATGCATTATGTGACATAGAAAAATTAAATACTGCGAATGTATGTATGTCTTCCCTCTGTGCATGAGCTTCTTTTCACCTGCTTTACAGTATGTCAAAATACATTGCCTCACTCCTCCCTTCTTTTCTCACAGGGAAGTACGCGATGAGGGACCTGGTCAACCGGCTCCCCGGGGGGAACACCACCCTGCTGTCGGACGAGACGGTGGCGGCCATCTGTTGCACCCTGCACGAGGTCACCAGCAAAAACATGGAGAACGCCAAGGCCCTCGCCGACACGGGCGGCATCGAGAAGCTGGTCAACATCACCAAGGGCAGAGGAGACAGGTGGGCTACACCAGCGTGTATTTGTTCAGACACTTTTAAGTGAGGGTGCAGAGGACACACACACAAACAAACCCTCGCTAACATGTGCACATGCTCAAATGCACTACTCAAACACACAAACAGGATGGACTGTACACACTGTCCTGGACATTGGACAGTGGGAGATTTACACAATTACACTTTCAAGCACACACACACACAGATATTGAAATGCTCCGAGAAGGTGAAGCTGTAGCCAGAGGGAAGTCAGCTCGTGTGCATTGAGGTTTTTCGTCCCTGTGGAATAATGAACCAGCAGCTATTTCTGAAATGCTATATATTCAGTAATGTTCCAGGTTAAAAACACTAAGGACACTCTCTCCTTTCAAACATATTGTCCTGTAATATTTATAGTGTGATTTATAGTGAGGCCTAAGTGATTTGGGAACACTCAAAAATATATGTTTATGTTTTTGTCTGTTTTCCAGGTTCTCTATGAAGGTGGTTAAAGCCTCTGCTCAGGTGCTGAACACACTGTGGCTGTACCGGGATCTGCGTACCATCTATAAGAAGGTAAGAACATTGGGACTGATGAAAAGATGGTAGCAATAAAAAAGTCAATAACATTATTTTTCTATGAGCATTAAATGAGTTACCCATTTAGCAAGGAGAGGAAACACTATAAAAGGTTTTAAATGAGAAATGGTGGTACTAGTTTAAACATGTCTTGTGTACTTTTTATTGATACGGACCTACTGATGACCACACAGCAAAGGAGTCTTACAAATACTCCCTCTGTGACCAATGAAAAGTTATTTTTCCAGAGTTTTACAAAATCAAACACTGTTCTAGTAATACAAACCACCACATTTCCTGTCTCTCTTCTTCCTAACAGGATGGATGGAACCAAAACCATTTCCTCACTCCTGTGTCAACACTTGAAAGAGACCGGTTCAAATCCCAGCCCACCCTCCCCACCAGCAACATTCAGATGTCCCCAGTCAACCACCATGGTAGGCTCTAGTTTCCCACAGACCCAGCAGGATAGAAATAGACTCCGCCAGTGAAGCAGGAAAACCTCTGGAATTTATTGTAAAAATGTGTTTTTCTCTTTGCAGCTGCCAGTGCCACGTCGTCTCCTGCCATACTGGGCATCAAAGAGCATAGAGACACCATCAGAGATTACCCGAGATCACAATCGACTATGCAATTTTATAACCACCAAGGGGACAACAGTATCCATAAAAAACAGTATACAGGTATTTAAACATGTGAAAGCTATTTAAGGTCCTTACAGTTTGCATATTATTAGTCTTTAAACCACACACAGCGTCCACTATCTGCAGCAGACTGTAACCACAGGCTACCCTCTGGTCCTGTCCGTGCAGGACTTTATCTTTTTTATCCCTCATAACACTCCAAGCTGATTCCATGGCCGTCTGGTCTCCCTGCCAAGACAGATCCCGCTTATCACCTCCACTAAAGCCTGCCAGCCCTGAGACAGTCAGTCATTTTAATTCAGAGCACTTCATAGCCGGTTTGCACAGCAGTACAGTGAACTGGCATGACAGTGGCGGACACTCTACAATGGTGCCATTGTTAGGAAGTCACAGCATGCAGACAGGGGAAGTGAGTGGGCACAGACATACTGCAGCCAAATGAGAGCTCTTGCCAGCCTACGCTCATTGGCGGAAGCAGAGGGGGGGGGGGGGGGGGTATAAACAGAATGAGCCGCAGCCTCAGCAATCCACGAGTTGCACAGCGAAATGGAAATTGAGTTTCAGGATTCCACCAATTGGATAGTGCCAACGGAAATACCCATCCCATGGGCTTTGCCAACAACAGAACAGCGGTTGCCAACTCTGTTATTTGGTGTTATTTCTCACTCAGCGCAGCGCAGCACTTCTTGATCCTTCTCTATCTAAATACAGACATTTGCCCAATGGGGACGTGCAGACTGTTTCAATGATCTGTAATGAAGTGTATTTGCATCCCACTCAATTGAATTTTCTTTTTTTCCTAGGGTCTGGAAAGCCTTCTCCATATTACTACCCATCCCCCACAAGAGAGGAGCCCAGGAGAACACAGGTGAATATGTCCATTCTGAGTAAAAGTTTGTTTATACTTCACTTATATCTGCCAGGGGTTTGTCTGCTCTTCAACGCTGCCACTTTCCTTTATGAGATTGTTCCCACTGCACCAATTAAGTGTATTTTTAAGTGTATTTGTTTTCTTATTTATAGAGAATCATTTATACAAAAATGTATAGAGAACAACATGCAGCGCCCCCTGCAGTCACATAACATAATAGCAATCACATTAAATGTAACAATAACACATGTAACATAAGGCACTACAAGGTGCTGCATAGGGTTTGTCACTGTGGCATTCATAATATGTAAATATGGGTAAAAGGATCAAAAACAAAAATAAAACCAAGTAAAGTTTGGTACTAGGGATGCAACTAATGATTGTTTCATGTGAAAAATTGTGAATAATGAATAAAATTCCCTTAGCTTAGGGTGATACATTCTAATGGCTTGTTCTGTCTGTATAAAAATGATCTAATTAACAACAGCAGCCTGAATAAGAAACTGTCTGACATTGTTGCTTGACAAATGACTGAAACAAAATTAAATGAATTGGATTTCTTGTGAATTGATTTGCTACTCCCTCACTGCGAGTTGGACCCAGGTAACTCTCAAAAAACACACCTGTTTGCTATCCTGGCTCCAAAATAGCGGAACGAGTTTCTCTTTGAAAACTGCAACAGCACTTTGAAGCAAATACAACTGCACTTTTCTTGTTGTTCTAAGTTTGTATATTTATCGTTTATTGCACTTATTGTAGGTTTATTGGGATAAAAGGGTCAGCTAGGTGAAATGAATCGTTTATTTTGACAATCTACTAATCTTTTAATGCCTTCATTGTTTAGACTGAAAAAGAAAACTAGCTGTGATACCACATTCCAAAACCACTGTTATCTTCCAGGAAGTGTTTGGTAGTGATAGTACACGGCCCTTGTTTGAGAGCCGTCCACTGCCTGTATAAACCTGGCGAGGACGACCGGCTCTTCCACCCCACTAGACTAATACAAAGAGACTGACGCGTATTCCACCGTGGATAAATGGCGATGCTGGGAATGACCCAGCTCATCAGCTATTGTCTGAGCAGAGTGGATGTGACTGCTGGGATTGGGATGGTCCGGGCTCGTCTCAGGCACCTGTCACTGCGGGACACGTCCATGTGTGCCCACTCAGATTACAGGCACAGTATGAGGAGGCATGAGGGGAGAGATGGGAGGGGGGGGGAGCAAGAGAGAGAGTTGTGCCCTTCACATGATCACATTTAGACCAGTTAATGCATGAATACAGTCATCACCCCATTTATTTCAGACAAATTCAATTTATCTTTTGGATTTATCCCATTTTCCTCGAGGCAGTTTTCTGCTGCATCTGTGGCTGGAGTCATGTGGGCTGGATGGAGATTGATTAGCTCACTGCCAGACAATAGTGCTTTTTTCAGAAACTGCTGGGATGTCATTGAATGATGTGTCATCATCTTCTCAACAAGTTTAAAGAATGGAACAAAAAAATGTGTTCTTGAAAGTGACGGAACTCCCATCCTTTAAACATAGGAAACTTCCGCATTTTAGATTACACACATATTTAATTTCTTATTATCTCAATCTTCTTAACAAAGCTAATTTTACTTAATATGCTAAAGGATCAAATACTTAATTGTAAACGTTTTGGATAGTTTATCTCCAGGCATAAGTGTGCCAGTGTGTTGCCACAGACACCACAACTCCATTGTGTGAACACATTTATTAAGGACTTGAATTAACGAATATTCATTTAGCATAAAATAAAAAATACACCAGTACAAGAACCTTAAAACTGTTATTTTATTAATAAATGTTTACATTTGGCAACACCTGTTCTGAGGATTTTGAGGTGTGCAGCAGATCGAATGCAACTCTTCATTAACTACTTTGTGTGTTTTGCCAGTGGGCGACTTTCAATAAGAGGCTGTAGCAGTGGGAAATGTTTGGTTTGCATTCAGTTAAAGCAGCTCTGATGCAGTGTAAGGAGAGTGAACAGCATACAGTGATGATGACATCAGTGAGACCAACAGTTACACTTGATTTCTTTGTTAGTGTGAAGGAAACGTGAGTGTCCTGCCATTGAATACTTAATAGGATCAAAAACAGTATTCTATTTCATAATTTGACTCCCTGTCATGAGGATTATAACTTTCAGGACAGTATTTCAGTATTGTCATATGCACAGAGCTACAGTGTAGAAAGGGCAATGAAATTCTTCTGACCTGAGCTCCTCCAACAATGCAACATATATAATAAAATACAAAAATGAGTGCATAAATCTATATACATGTCAATAGAATATGGGACAGAATATGAAATAAAATAATGCAAATTAAGACATGAATGAAATACATTTGTTACCACTGTTGCCTTTTGAACCAGTGAAAATCATTTTATTATATCCTACTTTTCTCTTTTCTTACAGCCTGTGTATTATACAGAGGAGCCAGGAAGGAGGAACTACGATACGTACAGGATGTACCTGCAGCATCCACACGGCTTCGAAGACCCGTACTTAGAGGAGGTGATCACCTACCCGCCCACAGCGGACTACAGCTCCCAGCCTCACGGACTCAAATCCAACACCAACTATGTGGACTTTTACGCCAGCACACGGAGGCCTTCCTACAGGGCGGAGCAGTACCCGGGCTCTCCTGACTCCTGGGTATAGGTCCGGAGACAAGAAACAAACAAACTTTTTCATGAACTTGGCTATAAGTGTGTTTTTAATAAAGTGAATGCGTGCCTGCGGCGGGTGAGTTCAACTGAGCGATGGCTGATGGAAAAATGGAATGTGTGCCAAAGAAGGAAATCAAGGAATGTTTTTTTAAATTATTTTTTATTTAGAAGAAGGAAGATGAAATCTGTTGAGGGGCGATACTCTACACCACAGCGAGGAAGACGTGCGTCCTGCTCTGTCTAGATGTTAGTTTTATTTTCTTTATGAAAATCTTAGCTGTGAGAGCATGGAGAAAGGTGTGTCATGTGAGCGAGGGTATGCGGTAAGAGTCAAGATGGGGAATGTGTATGTGCTGAAGCCAAAATGGATCATGAACTCATATCTGTTAACGAAACAAAAAAAACAAATACAATGAAGTTATGATGTTAGACTGTACAGAGGGATCAAATTGTATCTGTACTTAATGTTGAAGCTGTGTAATGCCATGGAGTCTTGTACATTTCTTTCATTTTATTGTAAATACAGAAAAAAACATGTTACCTGGTTTACATTCATCAGCACTGGTTTAAAAAAAAGAATCTTGTGCCATGTTAAATCTCTACAGATATATAAATATATGGAAAAAAAAAATGTGTGGACAAAGATCTTCCATAACACAACCATGCTAAAATAATAAAAAAGGTCAGTTTTGTTTTTTACACGTCGTGTCATTGCATCTTTTCAATATGGTGAAAACATATCTTTCACATTAAGATATGCCAAAAACATGAAATGAGTGTTTCTTCAGTTCCGGTCCAGGGGGTTGTTAGATTACATTGTTTGACACACACATTAGCCTAACTCAGTGTTTCGTAAATCTGTGTCTAATATGTCTGCATGAGCTTGTGTATGTGCAGATGTGTATAAAATCTTTCCTTTCAACACATACATTATTCTACTAAAAGTGCATGTTCACATTCACAAGTATCAAGGAAGGCAAATCAGTAATGCATCTATCATCAATTTTGTAAAAATGACATAATCCTCTTTACAAAGTTGTGATCATGCTTAAAATCACTACATGTTTTTTATAAAAGTAAAAAAGGACAATCATCCACACCCCTATATGTAGCAATGCTGAATCAGCAGCAGCAGTCTTATTATAGGACTGCATTTACATAGCATTTTTTTTGTCTTTGCAATGACTGAAAGCACTTTAACAATACAAGTTAGTATTAACCCATTCAAACACTGGTTGCTATGCTATTCTGAGCAGTTTTGTGTTCAATATCTTCCCAAAGGTTATTTCCACATGATGACTACAGTGGTTACCTTCCAATTGCTGGATGACCCCTCCAGCCACAGCCACCCCTGTATTAGGAGAGGCATAATACACGTTTAAGAAACTGAAAATAAAATATAACTACACAGATGAAAAATAATAATGTACAGTTGCAGCTCCCACCTCTGGAGATTTCTGTCATGGAGTAAAGGTATGAGTTAATATACTAATACTACACTTTGTCAGAACATAACAAAATGTTCAAGAGAACAAGATGTACAGCTCCTCAGACTTCCCTATGTTACCACAGGCGGTCTGTGATTGGCTGCAGCTGCATGCTTAACCAGCCAATGATTTTGCAGAGGAGAGAGCCAGGGGAGCAACACAGCAGAACTAGTTGTACTTTCTGAACATTAACACACCCCTCTATAGGAGGAAATAACAGTATGCAAAAAATGAAATGAAATAGACATGTAATATATTTTCTTTGTAATGAGACATTTTCCTCGTCTATTTCAGGATTCATCCGAACATATTAAACCCTCACATCTTCCCCTCCCTGTGCAGAATATAAAGTTATTTTTTCTATTCAACCTTGCCCAAAGATTGTTGTCTGATAACTGGATCAAACGCATAAACACCAAACTGAAATGATGAAGGTATTGTAACTAGTCTCAGGGATCTTTGTCCAGACAGGGCATCAAGATCAGGTAATAAAGCAGCACAGGCTTCAGGATGTATACCTTAGTCCTGCTGTATATCCCCAAACAAATGTGTTTGTGAAAGTAGAACAAACCACTCGACAAACACAGTAAGACTGGAGCTGCCAGGGACATTGAAACTCCCACAATGTAATACTGCCAAAAGTTGTATAGCACATACTGTACCGCCTCAGACACTAAGACACACATTACAAATGCTATCCACACGCAGCAGAGAGTCAGCCAAACCTGAGCTTGTTGACAAAGAAATGGCTGTATCTGACCCCAGCAGGGGTGTGGTTTAAGCCTCACTTATTTCAATGAGCAGGTTGTAATCTTCTGCCAGTAATGGGTCATGTAGGAGAATTAAGAGACACAAACAATTTGTGTTAAACTTATTTGCATGTGTAGAAGCAGACTTTGAGTCAAATGTGATTCACAAATAGTATGCACACACAGGTGTAACATGTTTGACTGACATCTTCCTGCCTCCTGTTAGACTTGTTGGAGTTCAATATTAACTTGAGTGAAACTTCTAATTATGATGAGGTACTTTAAAGATGATTAAATGTATAGACTAGCCCTAATTGTTGAATAAATCTTAGGCAGAATAACTGGATACATCTGTAAAGACCTATAGACTACCATAAAGGATATAGCCTACTCATATTATTGTGTAATTATCTTCTTAAAGAAGAGTTGTGTATTACATTACATGTCACTTGTTAGACACTGTTATCCAAAGTGACTTACATTCTCAATGCTGACAATCCCCACAGGAGCAATTTGGGGTGAAGTGTCTTGCCCAGGGACACAACGACCTGCTGACTGCAGTGGGACTCAAACTTGCTACCACCTGATTCGAAGTCCAGCACACTATCCACTGAGCCACAGCCTCAGCCACAGCCACAGTGTAGTTCCTGAAAGAAAAGCTGTGAAGTTCCTTTAAGAGGCACAAAGTTGTTTTTTTTAACATATATGTTAATGAAAAATGCTTTTGATCAAATGTGAATTTATTTAAGTCCCCTGTCTTTGTCAGGCAGTCTGTTGTTGCTACCACATTCAACGATTTTTACAAAGATTTTCAAAATAAAACAATGGAGAAAAAAAAACAAAGTAGGAAAACTTGAATAGATGCGCAAAAACATATGCACAATTACTTGAAAGTAAATGATCGGTATGACGAAATTCAGTTTCGATTTATTGGTCAAAGCTGAACATCAGTTTAAAAAAAAATCAAATAGGCGTCTCTCTGGCAGGTGCTTCCTGTCTACGTCATCTTTGTTTGAGCATAAAAACAACCAAGTGGGCGTTCAGCGAGGTGTGTTCTTTGCTTTTTCTACAGAAAGTTTCGAAAATGGTGCAGCGACTATCCAAATCCGGGACGAGAGATTCTCCTTTGCTGAAGGCTGGACACCCTCCTGCAGGTAAACTGTTGTTCGCATGGACTTCGCAATGCGCGGAGGATTTTTTTACTACATTCAGCAAAAGCGTTGTTTTCCCTGCTACGCAGATAGAGCCGTGCAGACGCTGAGAAAAATATTCGAGTTGCTTTTTCTTTTACATCCCTTTGTGATACGTGGGTTGGTGAATGTATTCTTATCGTGGGAAACCAATTGATTCGTTGAATTCTTTGATAATTGCTCATTGCATCCAACTTGCATCGTTTGTTGTTCCCCTCACGCACATTGTTTGGACGCAGGCCCTGCTGAAAGTAACACCGTGTTCTCACTCACTGAACACTCATGTGAGCACAATAACATGCATTTAAAACCATGCTGTGCAAACAGACTGTATAAGACGCAATTTGACGATGGGAGAAATAATAATTTTTGGGATTTTTTGTTGTTGTAATCGGTCCCTTTGTTGCATGTGTAACACTACCCAAAATGTTTTTGTTCTTTCTCCGTTTTAGTGAGCATTGTACGATAAATGGGGTTGTGCTCACAGGTCTAGTCTGGGTATTTTCACTTTGAAATGTACAGATTTGCATTGCTCTTCTGACTTTTTTTGGACGTGAAATCTCAAGGTGTTGTTGTTTGACACACCCCCTCCCCCTCCACACATCACGGCCCATGGATTAGTGGGGCGTGACTTCTGAGTAGTTGACCAAGGAGGGGTTTTGTTTTGATGGCAATTTTAACGATTTCTAGAAGCCTTGGGAAATTAAAAGACGTAAAACATATGATTTTGAACATATTTTCGTAATGGGAAACCAATACTGCTTTTAATCATTTTTTGACTCTTCAGAGGTTTTCCCTGACCCCCACTTTTTAAAATGTCGGCTGCTCAAATTGGACAACAATTAATCATGCATGACCCCCTACAATCTGTATAGTGTTTTTAAAGCAACTTAAAACGTTCACATCAAATCTTTGTTGGTACAGATTGTTTTGTAAAGGGAATGCCAGGGGCCTCTTTTTTTTTCTTTCTCTTTTTTTTGTATTGGATTATCTATTTTTTTAAAACAGTTTCTTCTTTTGGTCAATAGTTAAGGCTGGCGGTAAAAGGGTAGCCAAGAAAGGCTTTGAAGACAGTGGCTCCCATGGGACTCCAGAGAAGGAGAGCAAGCGGTCTGATAAACCAAGGTAGGTTGAGAGTTTGTATGATAATGACTTACAAGTGTAAACTCCAAGGACACAGCAATGGATGTTTACAGTTTAAACTGCTTGAATTTACTTTTTTTTTTTTAAAGTTAATTTGAACTTTGATCTTTCCGCAGGACCCTTGCAACCTCCAACAGAATGCAACAAGTTAGTATTCTTCTGTCGGGAACTCTTGAAAAGGTAAACAAACTCCCTTTAGTAAAAAGCACATTCTTACTGTGCATGTCGAGTTCATTCCTGCTGGGCAAACTGGAATGGACACAGTGCCTCAGGCCACAGAGACATGTGGTGTAATAAACTCCTGCCTGATGTCTTTTTGCAGCTGAGCCATGACTTTCCAGAGACGCCAGTGAGTGTGAGGCACGGAAAGGTGCGCCCTGCAATGAAGCCCCACTCCCTCCGGTCCTTTTGCATCCAGCAGCCGAGGAAGTTTTGAACAACATTTTGTTTAAGACTGGCCCCAGAGGGAACCGTGTCCAGTCAACTGTGAAAGATAAACATGAAGGGTTAGACAATTGAGGGGGCTGACAGGTTATCTGTAAAGTGTCAGTGTTAATGGAGTGCAAGATTTCGTCAAGCTCGGAGTTTACTTTCTAGGCTGTGAGAGAATGTGTATAAACCGTATAAACCAGCATTTAATGTGCCTTTTGATAGTGTTAAGAGAAATGCTTTTGTATTTCCTTGTTGATGGTGTTGGGGTATGTTTAATGTGAGGGTAGTTTTGAGGGTTTTTGAAACTTTTTTTTCAGTTAAATCTTTACTTTGTATTGCTTGGCACTTATTAGATTTGAATAAAAAAAGAAATAGAAATCGCATGGCATTCCTATTTTGCAGTTCTCCTTTTTCCTCAATGTGTTTTTGTAGTAAGTAGCAATGACCACTAGGTGGCAGCAAATGGCTGTTTATAACGTGAGGACCTTTGTGTACTTTACCAAACTGAATTGCATTCATTAAACAATTACAACTTTCTCTGGTTTTCAAGTGTTTATTTACTCTTAAAGATTGCCCTGTGCATTTCAACATCTAGTGTAACAAGATACTGCAATCATGGCCGTCACTTTGTTAGAAGTGGTGGGGACACTTTCTTTCAGATACAAAAAAAACTACTGAAATAAGCACCTTCCGCAAAC